CACCCACCCAGTTACTCTGTTACACAGAACGTCATGACTGTTGTGTGGTCACATAAAACAACCTTACATCAGTATAGAGGGTCCAACAACGCCAAACAGGCAGGGGCCATAACACTGCTGTCACCAACATTCAAAAAAAAGCAACCTGACGGCTCGTTTCAAGTGTGACATCAAATCTTCTTAAGCCTCCAAAATGCAATTTTCTCATTCATATCTAGTTTCAGATCATCTTGATGGGTCATTCCTTGCATTTCTTTCCCTAGTGCACCTCCGGGAGGTCCTTCAGAGGTTCGATCGGGGCACCTTTCGGAAAACAAGCATGTTCATGTAGGATTTAGTAAACTAACCCCAGTCTCTTCCAGCAGTTCCATGTCGTGGTGCCGGTTCCGAGTCCGGAGGGGCCGGTGTTCTTCACGAACATTCGGATGGGACGAAGAGCGGCCATTTTTGCAATGAACTGGTGCCAGGACCTTCCCAGTGACCTGTCAGTGACTTGATCAAGACCTGTTCGTGACCTCAGCGGATCTCATTTCAGGTCGTTCGATTCCTTCGGAAGGTCCTGCATGGTAGAGCAATAAGCATGTCCACCAGCAAAACACTTGGCTTCAGTGCCTCTTCCGTACCTCGCCCAGGACAACATCACGAGCGCCTTGGCGTGACGGACACAGGCGACGTTCCGAAGCTTCACGGGCATTCGGTGAAGCTTCGCGCGGGTGGGCTGAGCACAAGCGATTGGCATCTCCCAAAAGGGAGCCAGATTTGAAGGTGACCTGGTTGGCTTCCAGTGACAGATGGAGTGCCATGCGCTCATAGGGTGTCCCATGACCGAAGGTGTGGGCGGTGTGGGTCCGCGTCCGTCCGTGCGACCGGTCTGATGTCCGATGTTCCGCCAGTTTTCACCTGCCAGGACCATCCTGTCTGGGTGTCCAATGGTCCAATGGACTACCTATACCCTACTTATAGGATCTTATAGGTCTCCATTATTGGGCACCCATTACCATTGGAAGTGCTAGGTGGTCCTTGCAACTGTCATGGAGTACTGTTTGGGCCTTTTCCGGGAACAGAGGAGGTTTCGGGGCCTTTTCCTTTGGCACCGTTTGCGCAGCGCCACTCGAGGTTGACCCATTGAACGGACTCAGAAACCCGAGAAAAACGTACGTATCAGGTCCTTCATGACTTTCGTTGGGCGGTCGACCATGTGGCTGCTTCGAGGCAGCGACACGTGTCGCTGGTCGTGTTGTCGCTGTGAGGCCATTTGGCAAGAGGTGTCTTTTCCGTCAGCCAGGGCGGATCCTGATTTTCCTTCAGGGTGTAAAATCATGTAAAATCAAGTTCTCTTCTCTTGAGATGCATTTGGGGCTCTGGGGTGAGCATCCTGTGGGCTCGGCTGGCCGAGGAATTTTGTTGCATGCTTTCGTGGGAACAGCTGTCTCTACACTGGCTCGGGTGCCCAGCTGGAGATCTCCAGAAATTCGATCGGGTGGTGGTTGGAGGGTAGGGCCGGCAGGGTGTGCATCACCACGTTTGGAAGAAGAACAGCGGACACTTTTGGAAGAAACATGAACACATTGAGAGACCTTCTGGGCTCCTTTGTTCAGCCTTTTTGTTTGGAGGGGCAGGGCTCTGCACCTGCTCCCCCAGAAACCTCCTTCCGACCGGTGCAGCCGCACCCACCTGCTGCACCCACCAGCTGCCCCTGCCCGGACGTTCCGTGCTCAGGTCGTGGCCTTCGGCTTGCGCTGGCTGCTGCAGGCGACGGCGCCCACGACGCTCTGGCTGAGCTTGGCCGAGTGCTTGGCCTTTGGCGCCATGATCAGCAGCACGGATCCCGTGACCCGATCAGTGACGGCGACGGCGACGGTGACGAGTTCGTGGCGCGACGGATCCCGTGGGATGGGTTCGAAGATCTACGTTCTTCCGCAAGAGAAAGAAAAAGAAGACAAGCCAAGAAGAAGCAAGACGAGCAAGCAGGCAGAAAAGAAGACAAACCGAGAAGAAGAAGAAGAAGAAGAAGAAGAAGAAGAAAGCCGCAGAAGAAGAAGCAAAGAAAAGAAATCATGTAGACTCTTGATTAATCTACCCCAGCCGCCCAGCCATTTGAATTGAACATCCTCTTCGTATGGGGGGTGTGGTGTATGGATGTGTATGTGTATGGTCCTCAAGAGTCTACATGAAGGAACAAGAAAAAGAAGACAAACACGTCGACCGTTCTTCCATCGGGTCTTCGGTCATCGCCAGCCGAGACTCGCTCCGTTAAGCGCGTTGGGCGACTCGGAGCGCGACGGCGGCTCGGTTCCCACACCGGGACCACGGGCCCCCAACCGGAGTCTGGGGGGCAGCATCGGAGCTGGGGCGAAGCTTGGGAGCCTCTTCGAACTTGCTCAGCCGGTCTGAATCTGAAGGGGATTCACACAAAAAAAAGGGTCTTTCAGCAAGCACCACGCGAATCACTAGGTTTGTCTCAGTCAGCGGGTTCTGCTATATATTATGTATATATTTAATTCATTCTTCCGTTCTTGCGCCATGGACTCCATGGACACCTTGAGTGTGGTGTGCACTTTGGCACTTCTTTGGTTCCCATTGCACCTTTGGCAGACTTTGGATGATTGGGGGAAGTTGAGGGGATGTATAGGTTCCTTAGCCCAGAGAGATGTGGAGGAAGCCCAAGAAGCTCGCGTGGAGGAAGAATTTTGGAAGTTGCGGCAAACAAACTACAGATTCTTTTGCTGTTGCCTTTGTCACATCAACTTTCCCGTGACCCTGCTTTTCACCTACAAGACCCTCGAAGCACCTGGGCTTGATAATATTGTATTGCTCGTCTTGTGCATTGGAACCCATGTCCACTACTCCGTGGCTGGAAAGGATTCTGTCCGCCTGACTCCCCGTCAGCTGAAAGCTGCAACCTACTCACTGCACGTTGCTTGTGCTGTAGGGATTCTGGCGGCAGCAGGTTCAGCAGGGCGAGAGAGTGCCCACAGATTTGCATTGCTGCAATGTTTTGTGATCACGTTTCGTTTCTGTTTGGTCTTGGCATTTCTGGATCCATGGGTGACCATTCCTTTCCAAGTGGTGTACACCACTTTGGAGTTGCTGATTCGTTTCTTTGTCTTCTCTGACCCAAGTGTAGAAGTGATGTCAGTGTTGTGTGGGCAATTCTTCTTGCTGGTCATTGTGACGGCGTCCTCCATACTCATGAATGTGGCGCTTCGGGAACGAATCTATGCGCTCTTGGATACAGCGGATGCCGAGTCCCTTGTCTGCAGCTTCCGGAGGATGCTACGAGGCATTAATTTGTGATGGTGAGGTGCTGCTGGACAGCGGGATGACTCTGGCGCGCGAGAGTGAGGGCTTGAAGCATTTGAGGGCTTGGCAGCAGTCTTTCAGCAGTTTTTTTGTTTATAAAGAATAGCTATAGGGATCTATAGGGATCAATAGGGAGAAATCCTCAGGTTGACCCACTGGAACACATTGATTGGGGGTCTGTTGAAAAACGTCCAGATGAATTTGAGAGGTTTTCCTCCCATCAACATGAACTTCAACAGTTGAGCCGGCCGTGTGTTTCACACACCTGCTATCCAGAAGCACAAACCTGATCCAAGGATTTTATCGGATGTAAGCCTTGTGGGCCGATCCTTTGAACGGCTGATTGTTGCCGAGGAGCGCACACGTTTCAAGACCTTCATCGAGTCTTCGACCGTCAGCGGCGAATCCACGAAGTGTTCAGCTCCTCCTGTATGCTTCTCGGCCACACCTCTCAGAGACCCCCAAAGTTCCGCTTTGGCTGAGCAAAGCAGGGGGTGGAACAGAAGAGAAGGGCAGAATGGTCAAGAATCACCTGCATAGTGGCGGCTGCGGAGCAATCCAACATCCCCGGAAGTATAGTTGAAGCACTCCAATTTCCATCTCTTGTGCTCCGAGATCCTAAGAATATCGCGTTTCGGGAGAGCATCGGCTGTTTTGGCTTCGGTATTTTGGGGCTCTTTTGGTTTTGTGCTGGGGCTCCTGGCCTTGCTACTAGGAGCAAGGACGCTACTAGGGGCTCCTGGCATCGCTACTAGGAGCAAGGCTGGTACTCAATGGCTCTCATTTTTTTCTGCCTCGTTTTCGGTTTCACGCCGCACCGCCGTGGCAAAAGTGGCAGCCAGCACCATGGAAACGTGGCAGGTCTTTCGGACCATTTCGAGTAGACTGTTCGCTGTCGACCTCACACGCTGGGTCGAACCGGTCAGGTTTGGGGAAGCGGAACGCATGAAGGTCATGAGGATCCTTTTTTTTGGGGGCTCTGTTCGGATGCCCGGAGCTCTTCTACGCTTTGTGACGTGTCTGATTTGTTGTTCTCAGTTTGATTCAACTTGCAATTCGAACATTGGAATTGAAACTCTCAACTGGGATCTTTGCTTCGCTTTTCAAGCGCGAAAAAGCGGACGCCGGAACGAGAAAAAGATCCGAGGCTTGCGGATTTCGTTGAATGCAGCTGCAAACATCAGAGTTGGTGCAGATCTTTACCATGTGCCTGTTCCAGGGCTCTTTGGTGCCAGCGAACCTTATCACCTGATCGCTTTTAAGGAGGATCCTGACTCGCGGCCACCACCTGAAGCCTTGGAGAATGCTGTGCCCCAGGAGCTGTTGACCACGCAGCGCGAAGCCGGCGCGGAAGCCGGCGCGAGGCGCGGCTCCGCTCCATGCCCTGGGTTTTCCAGCTCCACAGCAAGCACTGGAAGCACTGGAAGAGGCGGGGATGGATCAGATCCTTGTGCAACCCATTTTATATTGACACTAAAATGAGTGCGTCTTGCGTCTCTTCTTAGTAGCAACCGGGAGGTTTTTTCAGGGTCGGCCCGGTCAGCCCGGTCGCCCCCCCCCTTGTTGGGTTTCGAGCGGAAATGGGCGGAGGGGGCGATGCAGAGGGCTTCTTCATGCTTCAATTCCCCAGCAACGTGTCTTGGAAAAGGGCACCTTTTTCACAAAACTTGGTGCATCGCGAGCCAGGTGGTTCTGGCCTTGAGCTTTGTAAAGAGCTGCAGCAGATGACCCTGCTGGTCGATGTCGACACGGACTTTCAGGATGTGCAGAAGGCCCACTTGACCTTCCAACGGACCGAGAACGAGACGGAGGAGATGGGACCGGGGACCCGATGGGGAGAAGAGTCATGGATCTCTGACTGTGACTAAGAAGAGTCAAAGAAACACTCTTTTCCCAGACCTTCCCAGTGACCGAACTTGAGATCCCAGCTGAGGTCACGAACAGGCCTTGAAAAGGTCACTTACCAATCCTGAAGAGGTCACTGGGAAGGTCCTGGTTCAAGACACCAGAAAGCATCCCCAAATTCGATTTCATGAATGCCACGCGAACAATAGTCGAGCTTGGATTTCTGGTGGGACGTTCTCGTGAAAACACGAGAACGAGAGACCGTTTGTGCTTGGAACTCGATGCCTCAACTGCAACGACGTGGCTCTCATGTCTCATCTGAGATGGCATGTTCGTGTGGGAACAGATGCCGCATCGTGCACGCAGAAGTGTCATCCATCGACCCGTTGTCATGTCTCTTCACATCGGAGGACGTGGTGTCTGCCTTGCACTCCACCATGCCCAGTTTGCGGAAGCTGGTGCGTCCCACGGATTGGGAGACCTTGCGCTCCCTCGTGTGCCGTTCCGTGGTGCCCACTGGAGCGGACGAGGACGCGTCGCCCGTGCCGCTGAATGGAATGACATTGCAGCTACCAGGACATACGGGAGGCTTGCAAGCGCTGAGGAAGCTTCTTTTTGTTTTCTTTCCAAGATCACGGGGTTCTTGGACATTGCCTCGTACTTTGCATGCGCTGACTTCTATGAAAGGAGGGTCCACTAGTGAAAGGTTGGAAGTTCCCTTCCCTTGAAAGACCCCTTGGGCCCTCCATAGCCGGGGCTTGAACCCTCAAAACCCTTTGTATTTGACGGCCCGGATTCTGACGGAACCAATCGTGTTAACCCGGGACTGTGCGGGTGAACCAACTCGTGTCTTTAGACTGCGGTTTCTGCTTGGTTTCGATCCATTGCAGAGTGATGAATCCGTTTAAAGTTTAAAGGTATGGAACGGAAACACATGGAATTTCCACCATTTGGGCCTGTCTCCCTGTCTTCCAATCCCGGCTATCTCCGCATACTTCCTGCTCACAGTCGACCGTTGACCGATGCGGTTCACCCCTCCACCTACTTCGGGGAAAACATCTCCCGGTATTATGACATTTTTGGCTTGGAGGTGCCCCTCCATTCACCACTTCGACCCGTACAACCGTTGACAGGGGGTGCCCTCCAATCCCATCCCCGAATCGAGGATGGCTTCGTGCGGAGGTGGCTTCTGTACATCCCATTCGTGCCAGCCAGAAGGTCTGGCTGTTTCTCAGCAACTTTAAACCTCAGAAGCGACCAAGATCCCTGCCAGCTTTGGACGGCATCCAAGAAACCACTGCGACCAGTGAGACCATTTTGCGAGATCGAGTCGACCATGTGGGACGATGAGATCTCTATTTTCGAGGTCGGGTTGACCATGAGCGGCTCGCTTCGTGAAAAAGGACACCAAAAGGTTCGCTGCAAGGTTTGCTGCATTTTTAGGTGGGGCGGGGCTTGTTCGATCCAAGTTCTTCAGCCACTCCTACCTGCTGAATGGGCCCCTTCTCTGTCTTGTTTTGGACTCCCCCTTTATATTTGGTTTTGCGTACACGACAGGCTCGAAGGTGCGTAACATCAAGGACTTCCACAGCTCTGGCCGATGACACCGAGGACTTCCAGAGTTCTTCGATTTGAGTGCCAGGTCCCGCATCAAAATCCGCCACGCTTTGAATCTGATTTCTCATTTCGATCACCCCGGTAACCGCTCCCTGGTCGGACACCTGGGTGTCAAGCATGTTTTGAGGGCTGGGCCCCTGGGCCTGGGGTGCACACCACGTTCCCGCCACGCCGTGAGGGCAGGGACCCAAAAGCTTCAAAAGCGAAACTGAAGAAGACCGCCTTCCAAAATTGGGGAATGTTTGAAAAGAAGGATTGGATTGACAGGTATTATATATATATATATTAAGGTATATTATATAGACATGGAGAGTGACGTGGAGTTGCGTTCATGGCCAAGGTCACAACTCTAGCCATCTTCAAAGAGCAAAGATTGGTTGAGAATGGCCGGGGGCATCTCTACTACTCCGTGCCAGCCCCAGTGAACAGCATGCGCTTCCACGCATGGGTGGCGTGGAGTCCATCTTCCTATTGAGCTGGCCAGAGAGCAATCCTGATTCTCGACGCTGCAGTGTTTTTGTGCACCCGCACGCTCCAAACTGAGCTTGGTCCCTCAAAACCTAGGGATTTGAGACCCCCAGACGCCTCCAGAGGATTCGGGTCTGATCCCTCCAGAGGATTCGAGTCCAATTCGTCGTGTCTGGGTAATTCACTTCAGCCTTTCAAGCTGCTCCAAAGGTGCCTTCCAAGTCGTGTATCCAAAGGTGCCGGTTTTTTTCATACACCCGAGACCCTCGGACGCCGAGGTTCTCGGGGAATCGATTCTAAACGATGCGGTGGCCATCACCCTCTTCGGCAGCTTTACCGACTTGGTGAAATCTGGAGAGGCAGCTTGGTGGCGGAAGCGCAGCGCTGGCAAGGGCAAGGGAGGGTTGGGGGTCGGGCGTTTGCACACCCTTGCATGGTTCATCAGCAGGGTACGTATATATATATATATATACAATATACAGTATAAGTCCTTTTCTGGGCACCTTCTTCACCAGTCAAATCTTTGGGCGAACCACTGAGCTTCTTCCGTTCTCCGTGGGAGGCTGGAGCACCTCTCTGCCACCACTCGCCCAGGTCGTGGATGGCCCCGTAGCCTTGAGGACGCGGTGTCAGCGCAGGGAAGAAGCGACGGATCGGGCTCCGGGCGGGCATCGCGACGCTAGGAACGGAGCGAGAACGGACGCGAACCGAACGGGGCTCCGATCGCCTAACAAGATGTAACAAGAAGCTACTGGGAAGAAGAAGAAGAAGCTACGAGTAGTGATCGCGACACTCGAACGTGTCGCGGTCCAAAGCGGCTCGCTTCGGGCGTGAACGGAGGCCCGCTTGGGATATGGCACCGTGGGTCAAAGCAGGGTTCACTCACGGTGGTGAACGGTCAACTTCCTGGCAAGTCCACCGACCCTGGTTTTGGGGCTTGGAGTTTTGACCCACAGCGCTGGAAGTCCAGTCATGACTCATAGACTAGCCCGCCTAGCCGGGCCTAGCCCCTATCAAGTGGTGGATCATGATTACCTGGTGCGATAAAATAAGTACATAAGTTCTGGGAATGACTAATAAAAGTAAAATTAACCATGTAAAGCCACTCGTCTCCAGAGTGGTTTTACATCCCAAGCGGCTTGAGCTTTATTCATCAACAGAGTACATTACAGAATGAGCCAATGATCCAAAAAACACACCGAAATGATGACGCACCCAGCACCCGACTCGAAAAATGGTCTCCGACATGGTCGCTGAAATGGAGACACACCATGTGGCAGGTGGTGACCTGTGTATACCCAGAACCTGAGTGACCCCTGTTTTCATAGGAAAAGACCATCTTTTGGGTGGTTGGTGGTCCGAAACAGAGGTCACTCAGATCACTTGCGTAGAGATCGGGTGCTGCTCGCCTGGTGCGCCTCTGTGGAGCACAGCACGTGACACATGACGCATGTCGCCCTACGTCGCCCTGTGGTGGGGTTTCTGAAGGTTTGGTTTGGTCTTGGCCAAGCTGGGACAGTTTCGGGTGCTGAACTTCCATGGGTTTTCACGGGGGGGTGTTTCAATGTTTTTTAAAGCGGGAGTTTTTTTGGTGCCACCTGTGTTGATAGAATCGTTGCAGGATTCTATTGGACTTTTGTGGCGTCTTCCTGGCTTCCACGTTGATGGGCGTGGCAGGCGGGGTGGCCGCATGTGGCCGCTGGGCCGTCTTCCGTAGTTGTTTCGGGTGGTTTGAGGATTCAAACAAAGTGTGAGTAGGCACACTTGTGGATGCATTGGCTTGTTTGTGTTTGCAGCTTTGGCTGGAACTGGGATATTCCAGACACATTCAGACATCGCCAGACATGAAGGTTGGACAAGATCCTGGGCCGAACTCAAGATACATTGCCTGTTTCTTTGACATCAGCTGCAAGATCTTCTTTTGCTTAGGTCATTGGGTAGTAGTCGCCCACTCGGGGCACAGGCGGTCTGGCCACCGCGTTTCTGCTGAAGACGGCGCGACTGGGTGCTGGAGCTTGTTCCTTGGATCCCAGACATGGTTTAAGGGAACATCTACCAGGACTCTCCAACAGGTCACCGCTCACTTGTCACCTGCCACCTTTGAAGTCTGCATTTTCAGTGACCACCCGCGGAGACCACCTGAAGAGGTGCTGGTACCCACGGGTGTCCTGCGGATGTTCCCCTTTCAACCAACGACCTCGGAGGACCTCGTGAGGAACCGCCTCGGCCTGGCCCTGTCATGAGGTTGGTTTCTCTTAGTATGTTCAACACCCAGACCTTCCATGGGGGGACTGGTTCATTACATCTACAATGATTTACAACATGAAAGTCACCCCTAATAATCCATCATGTAAGTAACTATTTCGTGGATGGTCTGGGACATGGGCTTGTGAACAATTTGCATGCAGCAAGCAACATTTGTAAGGATGAGGTGCTGATAAGGACGGGCACCTCGTGCTTTGGTGGTCCAAAGTCGACTTGAACGATGACGGTGCAGGAGATCGGAGCGGTTTTATGTTGATGTACAGATTTCGTCACAGCAGCTGCGTGGTGGAGTGCAAGTGCTTTTGCTGCCGTTTCTGCTGCAATTACTGCTGCTGCTGCTGCTGCCGCCGTGGCTGCTGCTGTTGCTTGGCTGTTGCTTTGCTGTGCGGTGGCGGCTTGTTGCTGCTCTGGCTGTTGCTACTGAAGCTGCTTGTTCTATTTTTTCCCTGGATGAAAACCTGGTGGTACGGTCTCGTACGGGTCTGGATGCTGAAAGCATTTCGCAGGCTTGGAAGGCCTGTTTGGTGAAACACGGTGTCCCATGTGGCAACAATTGCTGCAAGGACTTTGCTCTGACTTATATAGTGGTGGCGTGGTGCCTTATTGGGATTTGTTTGCCACAGCTGCGTTGCAAGATGTTGCAAGAACTTGCGCATGTGAGTGTTTGACACTTTAAGAAATTGGTGTCACCACAGCAATACCCGAACGACTTACAATCTAACTTACAGTACAGCTTTCTATTTCACTAGTGACTAGCACTGATAGTGGCATCGGACAATCATCATGGGGTGGGACATGTTTGTCCTGAACGTCTGCGAAGCGCAGCAGCATGAACCTTCATGCCATGGAAGTCCAGTCGGCTATCCTAATAGATGCTCTGACATCCGTGACGACTCGTCAAGGACATTCCTCCGTGACTCGAGTGTTGCCAATTGTCGTCGAACTGGACCAGCCTAAGGTTTACCTTCCATCCAACAAACATGGCAGTGGAATATGGCTCTACGAACAGGCGTTTGTTTCCACTTCCATGATTGTTTCAGGGAGGGTAAGTGATTTGTCAGACAAAGGGACAAGGCACGGCCCGGAGCCCGGAGCCCAGAGCCGGGAGACAAGGTTTTATTGTTTACAACCCCTCCATCCAGCCCCATTTCGCCACCGAATCGGACTCCGACCATTGAGACGGCTCACCCCAGTTCGTTCGTGATGGTGGTTCTTCACCCCCCTGGCCGAAATGGGTGGAGGACAACCGGGAAAGCTAGCCTTGTATCACTTCTGGTGGGTTGAACGTCGGTACAGAACCCGGAAACGGGCTGAAGAGTTCTACATCAATCCCGAACGTGGTGAATCCCGTGTTTTTCTCCATTTCAATCCGCCTTTTGGGGTGCCATGGTAGCTCAGGTGAAGGTGAACATTTCTTTTTTAATGTCCCAGAGATTGGAGTCGCCTTGGCGCGGTGACCCAGTGCGTGGTGCTGGAGTGCGTCGCTTTCGGGCGAGAGTTGGGCCAAAAGGCAGACAGGGACAAGAAGGACAGGTGCCCCTAGTACCCGACTCGCAAGAGGTCTTCAAACTAGTGGCTGAAATGGAGACAAAACAAGATACAACAAGTGGTGGGGATCTGTAGAGATGGGGTGGTGGGGGACATGTCCCAGAAGCGTCATTTTCCTCTAGCACGATCAGATCTTTTACGTGCGCCACTTGCCAGGTCTTGGCATATGTGCCTTTCTTGGCCGCGGAGGCCTGCAATTTGTCGGGCATCGTGGCCATCATGTTGCATGGCAGCAGGGTGGCACTGGTGAGCAAACGTTGCATGGTGTGTTTCCAGCGACGCGAATGAAGCACTCTTCGTGTTTCAAAGCTTTTTGTTTCACAAACAATTGTCGGATGAAGAAGAAAGACACATTGCATGTATTCTATCCAGCCTAGTTTAGTAGGGGTTTTGTGTTCTGGGAAAAAGAAGTACGTCACCATCGCCACATCCCGTCAACGGGACCCTAGCCTTCAGTTCGACCATTAAAGAAATGGTTGACCTCGTTTTGTACTGGAAAATCCTTAGTAAAACAACGGTTGTTCGGGATTCTGCCCATGGAATGATAATCTCGACACTCCATGTGTGGCATATTTTTACATACATTGTGGTGGATGAAAAGGGCTCAATGTAGGCCAATTTAGACACCATATATATATATAATATATATATATATACCAGGACCCTCCGAGGAGTGCCCAATGAGTTTTGGGATCACATGGTTGATAAGGGGTGTCCAATGGACACCCCTTTGAACGATTTTGAACGCACGATATCCAAATCCCACTTTTCTCCAGGTTCCCCTCGAAAACGTCGTCCTTCGAGCGCCTATCCTTCTGTGGCGTGCTGCGCTGCCTCTCCACCTTCATCTTGGAGCAGGCCACGAACAGGCTGGAACGGCACGTGTGGGCCCGGTTGGGTGGCAGCTGCCAGAGGGCACCCGACTTTTGGGAGACTGTGGCTTTCGTAAAGCCCAGTACGGCTTTTGTGATAAGAATGGTCCTGGTAATCTACTCTACTCTATGCTACTCTACTCTGCCAGCTGCCTCAACCAACGGCAACACACGACTAGCCGCATAGTGGCTGAGACAATGAAGTCCCAACCGTTTGGGATGGCCGGACGCCGCCACTTTTTTCAGCTTCCCCATACCATCCTCATCTTGATAACAACTCAGTGGTAACGGGTTTTGGAGCGGGGCGACATCCAACACCAAATGGTCTAACCGGTGCAACTTCGGCCTCAACTTCCAAAGTAGCTTCTCATTGGCGATCGCTTCTTCGGCCAACCCTCAGGTGATCAATAGCCAACAGCAAGATCACAGGACATGATTCTGAGCAGATTCCACAAAAATCTTAAATGACAAAGGCACAGTTGTAAGCACAGTGGAAGAGAAAGTTGGCTTTCTGCAGATTCGCCTGGTTCTGTTGTGTTAGGATCACCCCGGCGGGTTGCGCTTCACACTCTTAGAGTCCCGCAGTACACACAGGTTGTGGAATACAGCTGCCACCATCCTTGTGACCAACAATGCAACAAGACGTCAAAGCCAAATTCCCAAAAGACTAGGCCCCAAATTCAATGCAAGGCACGCGCAGTGCTCATCCTCTGGGTGCCCCTCTGCAATCTGCAGTGTCAGCCCACGAAGCCATTTTTCCATAGGACCGCAGACTCCTGAGCGCAAATTCCATGACAAATCCCATGATCTCTCTGACATGGACCTCAAACCCTTGAGCCCTTATATACCGCGCGTGTTTTCGCTGGTCGATCTTCAAACACACTGTAGTTGCGACTGCGAAACTGTTCCACGATTCTAAGGGTTTTAGTCGGATGGCGCGTTAACGTTCTGTTCCACTTGAATGCCCAAACAGAAGAAACCCTTCTACCCTACGCTACGTACACAATGTGAGTGACTGAGGGTACGGTGGGGTGGGGTGGAATGTTAACGTTCCATTCGGTTCAAATTGCACACCCATATATCAGAAGAGTTCCTTTTACGCTACGCTACATACGTAATGCGAGTGACTGAGCGTGGGGTGGGGGTGTGTGGTGTGGGAGGGTTCAAACGGCATGCCCATACTAAGGAAACTCTGCTGCGCTCTGCGCACCAATACGTCTGCGCTACACCGCTACACACCAATATGTAGACTAATATGGAGAAATAGTTAGTTGGCTATTATACATCTTATTTTTTCACTATTTGTCTTCTTAAAAAGGGATAAAAACATTAAAAAACCGTTGCGTTTTTCACAAGCGTGTCCAGTCTTACGTAGACCCGTGAGGAGTTATATTTATATATATTCTCCAATAGGGATTCCTGACGGTGGTGCTGCTAGCTCAAGCGGATCACGGGTGTGACGGCGACGGAAATTCTTTCGCTGTGATGACTGAAAAGCAGGTATGAATATCTTTCCTTGCTTATACATAGGTTTGAATAAGACTATTTGTCCAATAGAATGTCCTATCGGGCGCCGCCACAGAGAGGTGAGGTCATGGATCGCAAGGCTTGAAAATCATAAAGCAGTTGTTTTGAATCCCGGACGATGGTGCGTCATCATCATCATCATGATCATCATCATCAGCATCATCACCATTGCGATCATCATCATCATGGTTCCGAGAGCTCGAAAAGAGAATACGTTATGCGGTTCCCAGGAGAAAGTCCTGCAACCGGAGCTCTCTAGTTTTTCATCATCATCATCATCATCCGCATCTTCTTCTGTGACTGACCTTGATAAAGCTTGTGCGCGCCAGCCTCATATGGAACGTGCCACAAAACTTCGGCGCCGAAATGCCAGGCGGCGGGCGCAACTTCAATGTTCTGGAGACCGTTTAGATATCTGTGTGGTGGACGGCAATGCAAAACTATACAGAAGGACATGCGGCCAGCCGTTCGCTGAAGTGCTCTCATACCCAAACATAGGCAAATATCTCTTACGCGGCTGCAGCCGCAGTCCGCACGGGGCCGAAACCTTGTGCCCAGTGCGTGCGGCTCAGCGCGATACACAAGCGGAGCACTTTGAAGCTGCTGGTTTTGCTACTGAGTTCTGGCTGTTAAGACTACTACTACATACACTACAAGGATATTATAACTCACTAACAAGGTGTTATAACTTGTTATAACCTGTTATACTTGCTTCAAAGTTATTGTTGGTTAAGTGAGTTATCTAATGTTTTTCAACTTTTACAGTAACATGTTTAATTGTCTTAAAAATTCACAGAAATTAGTAAAAAGTAATGTAAGATACAGATATCAAAAAAACAGTTTTAGCAAGTTTGTTTTATGCTTACTCGCTAAAGGTTTTCAAGTTTTCACTAAAAGAAATTTGTGTTTGTGTACCACATAAGATATAGCTTGCACAAGTTGTTTCAACATTGGAAGCTGATTTCATCTTAAGCAAATGTATGCTCACTATAATGAATATTTTTGTTTGCCAGCTGATGAAAGCTTCTGCCCATGAAGTCATATTCAGCAGGTGTATGCTCAATGAGTCCTTTTGGTTACCAGCTGATGCAAGGTTTTGCCCGTGAAGGCGCTTGTGGAGCCAGCGTTCCAAAGGCTATAAGTTTGGCGTGTGTGGCTTGGTGGTTCAAATCACAACGTGTGGCAAGAACAAGCACACTCAAACACCAGGTGTTGTGCAGATTCATGGCATGCCTTGCAGTTGCATCATGGGGCAGTTCAAACTGGCCAAGGTGGAGGGACTACACTGTACCTTGAATGTATTTCATCATTGAGTATGTGTTTGGTCAAAGCTCAAAATATACACATCAACATAAATATAAAATTAGATTCTCAAGTCAAGTGTATGTGTCTATGATCTATCAACTCAGGACCCTGAGAATGATGTGCCTCGTGGTTGGATGAATAAAGCCTGCGCCCTTGTCCATGCGTACAAGACTGGACACATCAAGTACCGCAAGAAGGCGCTGACAAGGTTGGCAGAGCGCCATAGCCTGAGGAAGCCCATGGAGATGCTCAGCAAACAGGTTGAGCAGCATGTTGAGAGGGCGTATGACAAGTGGATCTACAATAGATCTGTCATGACTGTGCATCTTCGCGAGACTTTCAAGAATGAAAAAAGAATTGGAGATCAGTGAAGAAGCCTGTATAGGCTCAAAAAATGGCACCCTCTACAGGCATACATTCTAGCCTGTGTAGGCTGGCTTTTGAATTCAGCATATGAATTCAAACACAGAAAATGATTCTGAATTCAGGGATTTGCATTCAAAATCGCGGAATATGATTGATTTGAATTCAAAATCACAGAATTTGATTTTGAATAAAATCGCAGAAAATGATTTTTAATTCAGGGATTTGAATTCAAAATCGCAGAATATGATATTGAATTCAGGGATTTGAATTCAAAATCACAGAATTTGATTTTGAATTCAGTGATTTGAATTCAAAATCACAGACTATGATGTTTTGAATTCAGGGATTCAGTAGTGTGGATCCAAGGTCCTTCCCGTTCACAGGCTCACATACTTTTGTTGTCTTGGAAATTCATGATTGAACACCATACAATCCACAGGCACATTTACAATTCTATGTGCTCTTGCAGTGTGTGATACACATGCAAAGTGTTGGTCTATACTAGTCCTGTAGAGTGAAGCCATGTCATCACAGCCTGCAAATGGTGAGCAGCTGCAAATGGAAGTGGCAAACCCGTATATCATTGGCGACACTACTTTGGATGGTGATGAAGATGCTCAAGCCATCGTTTTTGAATATGGTGCGCCAGCCAGATGGGCATTACAATGTATACTTCACATTTGCACATAGCTTTTGCAAGCTTATGTTCTGGTCGGTGGTTAGCTTTTGCAAGCTTCTGTTCTGGTTTGTGGTTTTGCCCCACTGAAGGCTACTGCCTGTATAGGCCCTTGAAGGATATGCCTATGTTGCAGCACCACCTGCAAAATCAGCTGCTTGTAGCTGCAATTTTCTTTGATTTTTGTAAAAACATTTTACGCTGCAATTGGAGACTTTTTTCTAGCACTTTGGCAAACCAAACACCATGGACAATGCAGCACATTTTGTTGTCATTGCGAAATCATTGCTTCTTAGGTTGGAAAAAGCAAATCATGGTGTATGATTTGAAATCTTAAATACCAACATGTTTGGTTGAAACATTCCTGGGATGTACTTGTGCGTGTGTCTTTTTGTTGCCCAATAGTTAGTTTGAAAGTAATTTTTTTGCAAAACAAAAAATGCAAAATTATCTTTGTCACTTCTGAAAAAAATGTCAATAGAATTTTTGAAAACAACCTTTTGCTAACTAGTTTACAAACACCTATAACTAGTTATAACAGCCATAACTCAATAGTAAAACCAGCAGCTTCATAGCAGGGGGAGTTTGAAATTGGAGGACGCAGGCTGAAACGGGCGTTACGAGCAGCCGACGATGTTTGCAGTCTAGAGATTAAGCAAGCTGGCTTCTCCGGATGGCAGCCTGCCTGCACTGTGGATGAAGCTGTGCTGAGCAGGTATTTTGCACAGCTTGCTGATAAACGCATTCGGCGCAGGTGGGATTTTTTTGCGACGGACATCACTTTGACCGTCCAACTAAACCTTCTTTTCTGGGTTTCTAGACCTCCTACTTCCAAGAGGAAAGATTTGCAAACCTTTCGTAGGGGGTTGAAGCTCCTCATCTTGTACTTGTTGACTTGTCTTATTCCCGTTGGAAAGTTGCCGAGCAAGGTCTCATTATCAGCAGCAGTGGGCAGGCTGTTGGCTGCAGAACTGGCCTGCGTGTCCAGATGCATGAAACCGATCGACAATATAGTCCATAGATGCAAGACGTCAAGCTGTTTCACTGCTGCTTCGGTGTTGCAGAGAAAAAAGATCAAGTGGCAAGCGTCATCGTGGCAAATGATTCTGAGCCCATCCCAACGGTCAGCCAAGCGGCTGATGAAGCAATACCTTTGTGTGACGGCGATTCTGCGCAAACGAGCTCTTGCAAATCACCGATGAGTCCTGCGTGGCAGTTTGACGACAGCAAGTGCGCAATACGTGCCCCCCCGGGAATGCTTTTAACTGGCCCACCTGTGGAACACATGTCTAGGACAACATGGTGTTCAGATTCATGTAGGGGGTTGAAGCTCCTCATCTCGTACTTGTTGACTTGTCTTGCGCCTTGCGCAACACGATCTTTCAAACCTGATACTTCTAGACAACGTTTCTAGATGTGATCCCTCTAGATAGACACTCAACCTGAACCTTCAATTTGTCAACGCGACTAGTCACAGTGCGGTCCTATAGGTGTGACAGTAACACATGCCTCGCGCCTCAGCAGACAACTTTTCACAGATTTTGTTCGATTGTCTTGCGCGACCCCTTCAGACGCGAAAAGAAAAAAGATCGCAGAGCTGAGAAGCAGTGGTCTCCAATGCGGCCACGTAGACGTGGCTACTTGGCACCGTGGTCTTCCAATCAGGCTCGCGATCTAAACTCTTGCCAAACGCAAAAAGAGTCAGAGCAGCATGTTGCGGCAGCTTCGAAATCTGCAGGGTTTTTGTTTGCTATCAGTGCTGGAAGACGCCCGCTGGGCAAGTGTGTTTCTGGGGCGATACTAGCTTTTAATTCTGACACGTTGTCGATTGGGCCCCGTGCGCCTGCCTGTCTTTCTACATGAATCTGAACACCATGTTCTCCTCGACATGTGTTCCACAAGGTGGGCCAGTTAAACGCATTCCTGGGGGACGCGTATTGTGCACTTGCTGTCGTCAAACTGCCAGGCAGGACTCATCGGTGATTTGCAAGAGCTCGTTTGCGCAGAATCGCTGTCACACAAAGGTATTGCTTCATCAGCCGCTTGGCTGACCGTTGGGATGGGCTCAGAATCATTTGCCACTTGAAGCTTTTCTCTCTGCAACACCGAAGCAGTAGTGAAACAGCTGAACGTCTTGCATCTATGGACTCTATTGTCGATCGGTTTCATGCATCTGGACACACAGGTCAGTTCTGCAGCCAACATTGCCTGCCCACTTCTACTGATAATGAGACCTTGCTCGGCAACTTTCCAACGGGAATAGCCGAAATCGTAAATAGTCAGTTCAGCCCGCTGGGGCATACGATTCACCATATGAATCGATTTTTTGCACAGCTGGTCGTCGCCGAATGCGCAGATGTGCATAATCTAGCTCGCTTGCAGGCAATTCGAGACAAGCAATCTGGTACCTATCTACACCAAGACCCTTCTCAGAACCTGTGACAACAACCTGTGGGGTGGTTTCAGGGTCCAGTCAGTCGTGTCGAGTTGACTGGCTATGACTCAGCATGTTTGAACAAAAATGTTGATCGATGTGCGGATTGAACTTGTCAAATGTTTGTTTGTACGTACCAAGCATGCACCACTATTATTTATTTAAACTGCCTAGGGCCAGGGATGATTGAGTCATATCCATGGGCTGGGAAGTGGGCTGGGAATGTGGAAGGGGTTCGAGAACCGTCCAGTGGACTTGGTGACCTCGGTCCAAAATATTCCGATACACACTCAAAAGGTTGAGTCAAATTGGGGTGATGGGAGGGCTCCACGATCCAGGTTACATCCGAATAAACTTGAATATCATTTGGAGCGTCGGGGCGTCCAAGAAGTGTCCAATGGCAACCCATATGGCAATTGGAAGTCCTACGGAAACCAATTGGATGGCTGCGTTCAAAGACCCCTGCAGGTATCCTCCCAAAGTCCAACCGAGGAACTCTTCAAGATATGGAAAAAGAACTTCAGGATAAGCGTATCCTTGCACACGCCAATACTTTCAAGCATTCCTGTAGGTCCGAATCCATGATATTGGGATAAATTGGGGTACCAATACCTTAAGGCACTAGACTAGGGCAGCAATGGCTTCAAAAATGAATCGGCAGCAATGCTCACCTGAAGCACACAGTGGGAGATTCGGATGGCCACATGGATTTCATCTAAGATACCTGCAGGGGACCCCTTAGTAAGCGTGTGATCCCAAAACTCATAGGCCACTCGTTGGAGGGAGCTGGTACAAACTCCTTGGACTTGAGCTCTTCCTTCTCTTTGCCATCGCTCCACGGTCCAAAGGGTGCCCAGTGAGTTTTTGGATCACATGCTTGATAAGGGGTGCCCAATGGACATAACCCTTTGAACTTTGAACATACCATACCTCAATCCCAAGATCTCCCCATGGGAGATTTCTCCTTTGTAAGGGATGTGAACTGCGAACCTGGGTGTACCACAGATGTTCACCTCGCACCCTGAGTGCGCTCGATTCCCCGTGGTGGCTGCCGAGCCGCCGCAGGAGGTCCGCGAGCGCCTATCTAAGCACAACAACATCATCAATCCCTCTCTGAAGTGGCAGGGGTGCCTAATGAGCACCCGTTGGATGTTGATGGGTATATATATATATATTTTTTTATGTATAGAGATATTATATATATATGTATTATACCACACGTGGAGTGTCTGGGTGGTGCTTGGAATCCGAGCGGGGAACCCTTTGAGGAGAGGAACCCCTTTGTACAGACTGTACGGCTCCAACTCCGTCTCCGTACGGGAGCCTCAGTGGGGCACTGAGGTTTGCAGGCATCACCACGCGACATTACGCCCATTTCAACCTCACTCAGGCGTCACGCGGACCGGACTCTCGTGGCGGTCTCAAAAGCAGGGGACTGGACGTTTTGAAACCGCCAGGTGTCAAGGAAGTGATCCCGGTGTCGATGGGGTTGAGTTTGTAGACTTGTAAACGGTGGATGAATCCGCAGAATCAACCCCTCCAAGCTGGATAGTCTAGTATCTCCAGTCCTGTATTTTTTTAAGTCAACCATCTAAACTACATAAGCAGAAAACATGCATTCTGCAGATTGTGCCAAGTGGAACACATCCGAAAACAGCAGCGTTTTCTCACTTTTTCACCATGCAGGATCAATGGAATTCGTGACACGGCGACCCTTTTGTCGAGGTGACGCGTCAGATTTTCCTCCCGACGATCGAGCTGATCGCCTCGCTTTGCGAGACTTATGCTCCCTGGTGAAGGATAGGGCTGAAGGGGGAAGAGAAGAACTTGAAAGAAGGCCTTTGAACGTGCATTATGAACCATAGACCTTATTATGAACTTAGGTATCACAGCCTCATACGAGATACTTAAACTCCTTTTGTACTCTATGAGAGTACTTGCATTATGAACTTAGGTACCCATATTCGAAGATATCATAGCAGTTACTCGAGGTGATCGGGGAGTTTTTCGTTTTATGAACTCAGGGACCTATCAAGAATTCAGGAGTTTCTCACCTGCATGAAACAAATCATATCTTTGAACTCAGATACCCGGTTTGCTGCTCCATATTATTCTCTTGTCAAAGGCGAAAAACTTTCTCCTCCTGAGGTCTTCATCCTCTTGGGCCTTGGAGTCTTTCTCATGAAGCGCGCCTACTCCTTCCCGTTGGTGGCCTGGACGCTTCTTCTTTGCCTCCTAGGTCGGGCTTTGACGCTGGACGAGAACGCGCGGCGAATCCGCGTCGGAGATTGGCTGGCGATGGCGCAGGCCATTTCTCAGACACAACAAATGGGACTGGAATCTATAATTCTATTAATGTAGGTAAATATATGTAACTATGCCAGTGACAGGTCGTGTCTGGGTTTAGACGACCACTTCGGATGTGAGTTGCTATGGCAAGTCACCTCTTGGAATGACAAGTCACCTCTTGGAATGGCCGTGCCACTATAAAATAGTACAGCCTGGGATTCGACCATGTTTTCATAGTGAGAGTAGGGTGCACGATCCCCCAAGTTTGGTGATTTATCTAGACCCCCTTCAAAAAATAAAGCTAAATGACATCTTTGTATTTGTCTTATCTACTCTACAACGACTGTAAGGGTCTTTGCCGCAAAACCATTGTTTTCCTAAGGATTTATACTACAAAAACCGGGTCAACCCCTCTTTTCATGGTCGAACTTGGCAGGGGGTTATCCTGTTGTTTTCACCCACGGAATTTCCCTTCTCTACTTGCTGGAATGAGTTTCATCCACTTCCCGTTTCTGTAGTTTGGGCGCAGGGGTCCCTTTTCCTTTGCATGTGGCTTCAACATGCACCCTAGCCTTCAGTTCGACCATTAAAAGAATGGTTGACCTGGTGTTGTAGTCTGGGAGCCCTTCCTTTTTGGTGTGTCCTTGGACGCTTGTGTCGTAGCTGGGAGCGCCTTTGTTTCCTTCTTTCTTTCCCTCTCTTTTCTTCCTCCCCGTCCCCCCCCTCTTTCCTCGCGCGCGGCGTGTGTACAAGCAAACTAGGCTTCTGCAACAGGTTCCTTAATGAGGTTTGGACTGTCATCGGCTTGTCCCCATTCATTTGGTTCCCCTTTCATCGGCCCCACAGACGTCTTTCCTTCTTTTCCTTCATGTCTTTCTGTCTTCACTATCGTCCGGACCTTAGTTTGTACACATACACGCACGCGTATTCTACTTACAACGTTTGTTACGATGAGGTTTGGTTCATCGGTTGTCCCTCTTCACTTGGTTCTTCTTCATCGGCAACCACGCACACTTTTTGTCGGTCTCGTTCTTTTCATTTTCATCTGTCCATTTTGCGTGCACATGTGCCTTGCCTCCTTTCCGGGAAGGATGGAGACCACACATGCCTCCCTTCGGGGAGGCGTGTGTGTGTGTGTAACCCTTGGAATCAAAGGAACCTTTAGGTTTGGAACAGGGGGACGGGACACCACTGGCATTTCCCGTCCAACGAAGAGGATGCCAGCAGGTCGTTCCCTTCCGCGCTTGTCGATCTGCTTCGTTGCCTCCTCGCCATGAGCAACTCCGCTCGAGAGACCCGTGCTCCTTGGTGCGCATTTGTCTTCTTCTCCGCCGTGAATTCTTCGTGGCACTTGTTGTTTATTCCACTTTAGCCCTAATTTCCATCTCAGCTTTCCAGTGCTTTTTCAGCCATCACACACTTGTTCCTGGATTTCCTCAGAAGGGTTGTTCGGCAGGATGCTTCCAGGCACCTGTCAAGATCCATGTCAAGCTATGTAGCTATGTTCACAGGGATTGCTCCGCAACGTACGGGGTCTTTGCCCGCTACTTGTGGATGCAGGGGCGCAATGCTTGTATGGTGGGCATACGATTTGTTTGTTTCAAAGCGAGACACCGACTCAAGACTTAGACCACACATGATCTGAGTCAGATGACTTCGGAGAACTCAGCAACTGCGAAAAAGGCTTTAGTCTGGGGGCGCGGCGCGTAGCAAGCAACACGCTATTATTCATATGACTTTTGCATTTCTTTCTTTACAGGTCTTAAGGTATGGTGCCAAGCATGTCTTGGAGTTGGAGAACTCTCTACGTGTTGGAGTTTGCCTCGACACTTTGTCTTGCATTTTTGAGTATAGCTCGTCCTTTCGTTCATGCACCCTGTCTCAAGCTTTCAAAACAAGAAACCAACTGCTGTAGCCCGCTCAGCTGTCAGCTTGCTTTGTGCCATTGACATGGCCTATCAGTGCTCTGCAGCAACATGTCACGGATCTGGGGCCCAGAAAGTAAATGAAAGTAGTTTCTTTGGGCTAGGCTTGGATCCAGGGGCCCGTTTCCTTTTCTCGCTCCCTGAGGAACGTCTACCCGCTGGCTCTGCTGACCAACCGGCTCTCTTCGGGACCCACGATGTCGGTGAAGGATGGGATCCAACCAACTCAGCCTTTCCTGTAGATATACAAGGATATACGTATATTATGTATATACTTACATATACACACTCCCCTGAAATAATCATGGAGGTGGTCAACCCCCTGTTGGTCAAGGATGTTTTGTTTTTCCAGGAGTCATGCCATCCACATAACCATGATTGGTTCGCGGTGGTGTAGGTGTGAAACCCCTGAACATTCATGATCATTCAGCCGTTTTCAACCTCTCCACATCTCCATGCTGTTTGATGCTTGAAGCAGCGTGGTCTAGCCAGAAGCCTTCACATTTCCACATCTGCAGCGTTTCTCCCTTTCGATGCTGTTTGGAGGCTGCTGGTCGAGGGTCACCGTGGTCGGAAAAGAACGACCAGTGGACGGGGTTCGGGACGCAGGCCGACCTACCACACCACTCGCATGTCTAAGTGAGTGGGTTTCCAAACTGTTGGATTTTATCTTTGGTTCTACATGTCGACGCGTCACGTTCTACAGGAGCAGGCTTCTCTTTTCGACATTGTGTGTTCTAAGCCTGCGCTACGGATCACCCACGGTCGCCCGCGAGGGGGGTCGCCGTGTTTGGTGCAGGAGATGCATATGGTTTGGTTTGCAGGGCTTCGGGGGGTCATCGCCTTCATTTGCGCCTTGAGTTTTCCTAAGCAGGCCGGGACAGACGAAGAAAGTGTCTGGATCAGTGTACCCTGCTGCGACGGCTTGGAGTCGCATTTGGGGGCCAGAATTGGTTGTGACCTGTGACCATGCAGAGTTGTGACCTGTGACCAAGTGGATGTAGAACTAAGTCGACGGCCGTTGCACGTCTTCTTACATAACCGAATGCTGACAGGAAGATCATCAGGACTACTTGCTGTGCACGACCGCTTCTTGGCCATGAGTAGGCCTGCGCAGACGGATTGAAACACCCTGAGAGCCTGGAATGCAGAATGAGTATTGACGTCATCCTCGATGAATCCTGGGCTCAGGTCTGTGATCGCTGGAAGGCTTGATTGATGCCTGGAACCCCCAACAAACAGATAAGGAGGTTCCCCAAACAGCAACTTCCTATGTAAAGGATCTCAAGCTGGTGCCATATTGGAACAACCAGGACGGTTTCTGGTTCCAGGACTGTTTCTGATTGGGACTGGGTTTTCCTGGTGTAGTTGTTGCATCTGATCAAAGGTTCCCCCCACTCGCCTCACTCTCCCACTCTCACTCACCGGACTTCTGCGCAGATTTTCACATCGGTTGGCCATTCGACCAATCCAAATCAATCCAAATCACCTCCCCCCGAAAGTCTCGACAAAGACCCGTCGCGATCTATCATGCGTGGCGCGTAACTCACGATCTACCGCGCCACGTTCTCTTCGCGGTGAAATCGATGCGGAATCTCAGGTGATCCTCGTGGGTGCGTCCTTGGTCTTCATGGGTTGGCCCACCACCGGTCTCCTGCGGTGCCTCAAGCTGGACGCAGCCTCCGAAGCGCAGGAGAAGCGGATTCTGGGGCTGGGGGGCTGAAGCCGTGATTTCAATGAGATTTTGCGCTGGTGGTTCTGATTCTGCTGAGCAGAACACTTCAACGCAGCAACGTCAGAGTTTTTTGGTGTGTTTCTTTTCCCCAAGGACAATTACAAGTTAGAAATGACTTGAGTTCCAGAAAGAGGAAGACAAATTCACTTGACTCCAGCTTTTTGAATCAGTTTGGTCTTTTTCTTTCATCTCAAGATTCACCGACCTTAGCTCCACCCAGGAGCCCCTCGCGGCCCGCGCGCCCCGGGTCTCCTGGGCCACCATGCCGGGGAGCCGCGCGGTGCGAAGAGCATCTCAGAGGCGCCTGATTCGGTGAAGAACAGTGAACCATGGAATTCCAGGTTGGAGTTTAGAGGCTTAGTGGGCTCCAGACGCGTCAGCACTTTTGAAGCTTCCAAGTCCAAGTCCTTTTTTCAAAACAAAATGTCCAAGTCCTCGAAAAAGTGGTTCGAGCCACGAAGAACCTTTGCCCTCGGCATTTGGTCATGTCATGTCATTGGATTTGGGGCCTATGATTCGGGTCATCCAGAAGGTCCTCGGCGCCCGAACTTCGCTGTGCAAGTCATGGGAGCTCTACACCATGTCACGTCGGGTGACAGCTGGGAATTGGCACCCCTCAACCAATCCCCAGACACTCCATGTATGGTACCGTATATATATATATATACACAGCATAAGTATATATATATATATGCCTACATTGATCCCTGATCAACCACCCCAATGTATGCAATATACGACATATACCAGCGGAGTGTCTGGGGCATTTTCGTCCACTCGGTGGACCGGTCAAAGAGGTGGAAGGACCCATCCGATCCCCGAAGACTCGTGGCACGGTGTCATCTACGAACTTCTAGGTGGGGATCTACCAAGTTCTATTTGATATGTTCGAGAAAAGGGGTCTTGATCTATTTGGGGGGGGTCAGTAAAAGGGGTCTATTGATCTATTTGGGGGTCTCTATATAGACCCTGGGTGCTATTTCGGTGCCGCCATTCTTGGGATCCTCCAAGATGGATGGCACTGTGGACGTGCAGTGGCGCGAAGACATCCGTTTCATCCCAAGTGTTTTTTCCATTTCCCATTTTACAGTTTGGGATCTTTTGGCAGAAAGTAGCAAAACCTGTTCAACTGGATGTTTCGGGGATTTATGGTCATTCAGTGATTCCTTTGACCAGGCTAGTTTAGATGTACCCAACATGAAGAAGCAGGTCCACCAACGGATTTCCGCATCCAGCTCTGTTTTGCCACAGGTTAAAAAAGCTGAGCCTCGGATGCAAAGAAACAAGGAGCTGAGGCGATACGCGGGTTTTCGGTGTCAGAAGATGTCAGAAGTAGTGCTGAGGATGAGCTGCTGTGTTGGCCTTTTTTGAGGCCTTCGTCGAACTTGCTTATGGCCCGTTTAAAAATACAATGTCCAATCCAGACGGACTAAGGCTGATGACGCAAGATGCGGTGGTTGAAGAGGAGATGAACGAATTCGAGGAGCAGAGTCCACGGTCAAAAGAATTGGAAGTTGAGCTGTCACACACTCATAGATCAACAGTACAGCAAAAGCAAGTAGAAACAAGTAGCAACATCGCCAGACAGGTTTAAATTGCGCAAAAGAGAGGACCCATCCCAGTGCACCTGTTGCCAGAGGATTGACCCTTTCAACCCTTTGTTTTCGGTCATCATGTCATGTTCGACAAAAATACATAGGCCATTGTGTATGGACAGGGTTCCCGGGTTTCCAAGGACCACGCAGTAAGGACCACGCAACAGAATGTAGAAACCAAAAGAACCTGCCAAGCGTGGAACCATGGAGCAAGACATCAACCGCAGATGGAACATCCCCCCAATCAAGCATTTTCTTCGAGCGGACCATCCCTGTGATAGAGCATCTGGGACTCCACCTAGGTATGTATTGACATAGGGAGACCTCCCAAACGTTCCGACCCCTTGGAGAAGAACGCAAATAGATCAAACACGTTGGGCCTAGGTGTCTACCTAGTCATCCTGGAGCAGATAGACTATTGGAAAATCCAAAAGGAGGGGCTTTTTTTTTTTTCACGATGTTTTTTTAGTTTTTTTGGTGATCTTTTTTTCTTTCGGATTCTGCTTTTGCTGCTTTTCTGCTTTTGTTGCTTTTCTGCTTTTGCTGCTTTTTCTGCTTCTGCTGCTTTTTCGGTTTTGTTGCTTTTCTGCTTTTTGTGTTTTTGTCTTTCTGCTCTTTGCTTTTGTTGCTTTTCTGCTTTGGCAGCTGTTCTCCTTTCTCATTCTGCTTTTGCTTTTCCATTTGTTTGCTTTGTCGACCTATTGCTTTTGTGTATTCCTACTTATCACAGCAGTTTGGTGCAGTTCCTGTAGCAGAGAAACAGCTGTCGTAGCTGGCAAAATCCATTGGAACTGTTTTGGTTTCAAATTGGTTGCAGTGTGGTCGACATTTCACAAAGCCAGTTACGCGGGAAGGGAGCAGAGAAAGATCTGTGATGGATGGCAAAGAAGACCAAACAAGGAAGCAAGCAAGCACGCAAGCACGAGCTGCTCACCTTTGGATCTGGTGTGCTGCTGGGGGGGGCGCTGCGCCCCCTCCCCCAACCCTCCCCCGCGCCACGGAATCTGCACTTCATCTCCGACACCCGCGCCTGCGAACTCCCCGGGGCAAAAACTTATTACCAACCAAATATGCCTCCTGTGCTAGTTCTCTTTCTCTTTGCTGTTTCTCTGCTAACTGCACCAAGCTGTTGTGATAGGTAGGAATTTCTCTGACACCTACACTATTCCAATGTATTTTGCCAGCTACGAGCTCCCAAATTAGTCTAATCAGCTAGCAACTACAGTAATGAAACCTGCACTATTCCAATGTATTTGGCCAGCTACGACACCTGTGTCTCTGCTAAGGACACGAAATTGCTGTAATTAGCTAGGTACTAGTTAGAAACCTGCTCTATTCCAATGTTTTGAAAAATCACGAAAAATCAAAATCCCAAAGAAAAAGTGCACCCAATCCAAAACCAATGGAAAGTTGATCATGTTTTTGGACTGGTTCATATCCTACCTACTCCAGGGTGGTATATATAAATATGTTTTGATACATTAAAATACCCACCAGGCTGTCTGGTCTTCAGTCCACCGAAATCGAGCGACGACCCGTGGTGCTGCCAGTGGCGCCAGGAGAGCAACGGTGGCACGGGTGCCGCGCCGTCCGCTGCACCGATGGGCTGCATGGGCCTAGGCACCGTGGCATGCACTTGGCTGAGAAGATCGGATGATTTAGTAAAAAGCAGATTTACTCCAATCTATGGCCTCCAACCTACTAGCGATGCCTTCAACCAAAGAGCAAGGGCCTCCAACCTACTAGCGATGGCCCCTGCGATAGCCTTCAACCTACTAGCGATGGCCTCCAACCTACTAGCGATGGCCTCCAACCTACTAGCGATGGCCTCCAACCTACTAGCAACCTACTAGTGATGGCCTTCAACCTACTAGCGATGGCCTCCAACCTACTAGCGATGGCCTCCAACCTACTAGCGATGGCTTGCAACCTAAGAGCGAGGTCCTCGTCCTCCAACCCAAGAGCGATGGCTTTCAACCTACTAGCAATGGCCTCCAACCTACTAGCGATGGCCTCCAACCTACTAACCTACTAGCGATGGTTGAACATACTAGCGATGGCCTCCAACCTACTAGCGATGGCCTCCAACCTACTAGCGATGGCCTCCAACCTACTAGGGCGGGCCTCCAACCTACTTAGCGATGGCCTCCAACCTAAGAGCGATGGCCTCCAACCTAATGTGTTTACTGTTGGTCTTATATAAGCATGCTGAAACTGTTTGGGGTTGATGCTGGCCCCGGTTGGTTTGTTTGTGCAGTCCAGCGTTCCCTTCAACAGGGACCAGGGGACTTCGATACGGCTCTGGCGGCGTGTGAATAACGACTATTTTCCTATTGGGTGAATCCCCCAAACGTGCTGAAGATTCTTCTGCCTTTTAGTTCCTGGACAGGAAATCCAAGTTCACTGAGTGTTGACCACCTATGGGGGGTGTTCGCCGCCTTGCTCGAGTTTTGAGGTGGGAATCACCGCCGCGCCGCCTTCCTGTGACATAGATATACATTTACACTCCCTGAAAGAATCATGGACGTGGAAAACCACCTGTTTGTAGATGGCAATGGTCATCCAAGCATCCATTTCCCACATACATGATTATTTCAAAGAGTGTAGTACCTTTGTATGTCCATTTGCATAGAGGGGTTTTTAAGCGGGATGTTATCTCTAATGGCTGTAGAGGATGACCCCTAGACTTGGAGATCTGTTGTTGCCAAGGAATTTGAAGGCACAGCCGGGGCTGATTTCACTCTTCTCCCTCATAACTTTCATGTGGCTATGGCCTGGGTAGTGGTATTCGCATGTGGAACGTCCTTTAAAAGACGATTCTTCACCAGGAACGTCCGGACGAACTCGTCTCCGGACGTTTCGCAGTAGAGATTCGGTGCTTGGACTCGGACCGTCGGAACGATCGAGGGTGGGCCGTCGTCTACCCTCCTCTTTCGTCCCAACAAACGAGGGATGAATGGGCCTTCGTCCCAAGAGCGACGCGACCGTTTCGCTCTTCCGAACAGGTAGTTTTGACGCTGCTGCCAGTAACCGCGGCGCCCGGTGGTCAGCTCCAGGAGTACTAGGCGTGTGGTAAAGCTTCTTGTTGGAACGCCTGATTTTCAGGAGCCAGAAGACCTTAGACCTTCAATCTGCCCAGGCTGCTGCCTATGCCCTAGGCAAAGCCATTCAAGACCTCAGACCAGTCGTTTTGGGGTGCCGCTTTGTGGGTTCGGCGCTTCTCTTTCGTTCCATTCATGAATGCCTCTGCCCCTTCGCCACAGAGTGACAGTCCTACCCCAGAAGTGAAATCGATGGGTACACGGTACACACCAATTGGCCAGTCCGGATAGGAGTCGATTCCAAATACACGCTCGAGAGGCGCCACTAGTTCGGGTCCCTGAACTGAGGCCTCTCGTTCCTTCGCTTGGCCAGAGGAAAACCGGGTTCCACGATGGTTTCATATCCAGTGCAACTCCGGACGAACCTCCTGGACTTCTGACAGGGCAAGGCCATTGGGTCCCTAATCGCCACTGGCTCGCTTTGGTGACCTGCGGAATCTGCTCCAGGCTCCAGTGCCGAGCGCACGAGCCGAGCCATCGGCAGCCAGCGGCGGTGCTTGGCCATGCAGTTGGAGGGACCACATGTTTAACCCGACTGGGCCGACTGGGCCCGTGGTTTTGTAGGGCGATGTGGATGTTCCCAAAGTGGGTTTCATCCCCCCACAGGTTTCGAGTCTTTGTCATGTTGATTTGGTGTTGCTGGGAGCCCGGTGGACCTACACCCCAAGCAAACCGGAGCATCTCTGGGACCAATTCTCACCCTGGAAACGGACCAATGCTCACCGAACCGTGGGTGACACCTGACGAACACAGTACATGGAAGTGGATGGCATGGCCCCTTTGGAAGACTTTCCTTTCACAAAAGAGGGGGTTATATATCCAATTCGATGCTGGTCAGTCGGAGTGTAAGCCAATCAGGTGAGCGGCGAGGTTTTTCTCTTCTTGGGGAGCAAATGAGAACACATCAGAAGCATCATTACAGCGGATTTCAGGTTTTTCATGCTTTTCCATGCTTTTCATATATAACTACTCTTTAGGCCACCTCAAAACCCCCATTGGTGCGGTGGCCTCGCGGCCTCTTTGTGGTGTTTCAGCTCGAGACTGGACGAGACCTGATGGATGAAACACCCTCCCTGCCCCAGTTTTTGAGACACCTCTTGCCCATGTTGCCGACAAGGCCGAAATGCCTGGAGAATGAGGCTTCTCCAAACACTAAGTTGACGCGAAGTCGAGAGCTGGAGGCTTCTCTTAACAGTAAGTCGGTAAGTCCTTTGAGTTTGCCCTCTTAGGAAGGGGTGGGTTGAAGAGAGTGGTGGAACGGTGTCCTCAGCTCCATGATGTTTTGGTCTTTCCCCCTTCTTCCATCTTCTTCCCACTTGTTGTCAGGAAGGACTCCTCTCAGGATTTCTTGTTGGGCTGGCCTTTGCACGCCCTGCAGCATCTAAGGATGTCGATGCCCTCGCGATCTTCGCGGATGCTTTGCGACATGTAGGCCGGGCTGTGACATGGAGGGGATCTGATTCTGGTGGCACCCACTGTTGCCTCTAAGATATGACTTCGTCGGGTAGGTTCGCCAAGTTTGCCTGAGAGTGCTCGGATAGTCACGGTACAACAAACTGGGGACGTTGCCGACAATCGGGCAATTAGAGGGACAAGATGAGACAAGTATATTATTATCAACTATGTTTGGAGATGCAACGCCCTTTTTGCATCTCCAACGCTATAGGTCCAGGTATCCTAGATTCCCACACCTTTATGAGAGGGAATTTTCTATGTGTTCCCTCTGTTTTTGAGGCCAGGCTTTGCTCAGGCTACAGGTTCAGGAGGATTTGGACACCGACGCATGGAATTCCTCCTTGTGGAGGCCGGCGGAAGTGCGGCAGCAGGGAAGGAAAAAAGGGGACCTGTGGCCATCCCGGGCCGTGTGCGGTGCGACCGGGTGGGGAGCTGGGGTCGGGGTGTGGAAAGAAGACGTTCGGTTGCACCAGCTCGGGTGATGATGGGTGATCCATCTTCCGGACACACGCCGTTCGGAGCAACCAGGGGAGGGGGGCCACCCCCAACCCTGTGCATCGTTTTTCTTGAGGAACCGAGGGAGAACGAGTGGGTGAAGCTCGCAAGACACGGTCGGAGGACCTCGACCCAGCTAGCTGGGTGACCCAGCTCCGACCTGGGTCGGTTGCTCAGCTTGAAGTGCGTTGTAGGCCTGGCCTGGAAGGAGTCCAGTCTTGAGGAGTTGAGGAAGTTGTCGGGTATCTTCAAAGAGGACACCTGCAAAGATGTCTCACATGAGCATGCAAGTTCACCGTCTACATTGGTAATCTCCAAATCATTGATCCCGCCAGGTGATGCCATGCTCTCAAATTCCAAGGGAGCTCAAGATAGGCAGTTTGTTTCATTCCTTGTTGCGTGTGTACCCAGGGGTTTGTGAAGGCAACAAAAATGGACGATCGGTGCGGACGATCCATTGGCAACGCTCTGCGCCTCTGCTCTTTCCGCGTGGCTCGTGGCTCGGGGTGCGAGCCGGGCATGCGAGCCGGGCATGCGGCGACCGCAGAGCCGGGAACTTGGTGGGATGGGAAGTGAACAAAGAACAACCGTGGTGAACGCTTGTCAAGCAGACTGTTTTTCATGTCATGGGAGTCATTGCTTTGAAATTGGGAAACTCTACTGATTTTGGGTGTTTCCTTGATAAACCGAGCCGTATTTTGGTACGCAGAGCAATTTGGCATTGGCTTTAAGCTACAGATGTTTATTGCAAATTTCAGACGCACTTCTTTGCCTGTGGATCTGTGGGGTCTTTTTTGCGAAGACCAAGTCTGAGCCCCAACTCCCCGCTTTTGGTGGCCATTCTCGTGGGGCAAGATGCATATGTGTTCTGAATTCGCACGGAAACCCTGCCGGATCACGCTTTCACGTGTCGGCGTGTCCCACGTGTCCCACGGTTCGCCGCCGAGGCGCCGGGCTGCGGTTTTCGCGGCTCCGAGAGGCCGGCCCCGGGGGGGGCTCGGTTTGCCCGCGCGGTCCAGGTCCGGTTGGCTTGTTCGGAGACGGGTGGTCCGAGTCTTGGTGTGTCTGCCTAAGTCTAAGAGTCGGTAAAAGGGTGTCTGTGCGTAGGAAGAATAGACCAGAAAGCAGTAGACTCTAGTAGACCGGAGGTATGTCGACAGGGTGTCCTGCAACCTAACCATCATCATCCAATGTTGCTGGTAATGGAAAATACCGCATGTTTGCTACTTGGGGCATTTTGACCTCAACATAAAGGCCTCATCATCAAGTAGAGACTCCAAACGCAAAACTATTTGCGAGTCATTGCAGATCATGCGATTGAACAGCATTCCGGCCAGCAACATTTCTGTAGCCCCCCTCCCATCACCAGCGGGGTATTCGCAGGCTATCATCACCCAGAATCCTTCAGCATGTCATATGGGCGACATGAGGGAAATGGTCACCATTTCCCTTGTTTAGGGTTACTGTACATATACCAGACATGGGACACTGAGCAATGATCACTTGCAGCACTTACCCGTCCAATCCTTTCAGGCAAGATGATCAAGAGGACCGTTCTTTCTATATATACTGTACCGAAAAGAGCCCATTGCACGTTTTGACCGGTCCCAAAACTGACCAGGAAAACCGACAGGGCTGCCCGCCTTCCCTTAAGGAGCGGAACAGCAAAAGAACTCTGTATTTAGAACATGTCACGTCTGTTTGGCGACAAGCTAACCAAAAGGACCAGCAGTCACAAAGGGGTGCTTAATGGAGGTTAGGGGTGCCCATTATCCACTCACTCAGGGACTAAACACCACCTGTTTGTGACTCCTGGGATAGCAGTTTCTTTGGCGCTCTAAAGCCGTAAACCCCTGGACCTTTCCCTTTCATGCCGATGCCCTCGTCGGATCAGGCTCCCCGGAAGCATTCAGGCAGGATCCCCGGAGCCGTCCAAGAAGCCTTTGAGTGGGATTCCAGGAGGTTCAGGGGGCTCTGGAGGTCATGGATCAGGAGCCGGTAAAAGCGCGGCTCACAGTCCTGGAGCACCCTCAAAACGATCTGAGGTTTCTGTTGATTTTTCCTCATTCCGCCTTGGAGGTCTCCCATGTCCAACACACACCCATATACAGATCATGAAGCTGTTTGGATCTTTGATTTGGCCAGTGCCAGAGTGTTTGCCTGTGTGATCTAACAGCCAGTCAGACTGACAAGCCTTCCTGGCGTCTTGCTCCAGGCCGTCAGGAAGGCTTGGCTGAAGCAGCCAGTGCCTCAGTTGGTAGTGCGTCGAGACTGGGCGATGGATTCATCGAGACCGGTCGTGAAGACGAATCGTGGACGGAGCGTCAGAACTCTCTTTTGCATTTTTTCAGCTTTCTACACTTTTTCAGCGTGTTTTTGGAGTTCATTCGGCTGAGATCGTGGCTGCAAGCACCGCGGCACAGTCCGCCCGAGCAGCAGCTGCCTTGGCAGGCGAGATCGTCTCGTAGTTCCTCGCCGTAGCAGGTTTTCCGCTTTGAAGGAAGGGTTTTGAAGGAAGGGTTTCGGAAGGAAGGATGGAAGGAAGGGAGGATCATACATGGCCTTTTACTATTGGTTGGTTGATTATTTTGTGATGGGATCATGGCCGTTTTAAGGCTTAAGGTCGGTTGCTTGATGGTGCTTGATCTTCGGGGGATCCATCGATGGTCATTTTCGTGCTTGCATGGTTTTGGAATGATCAACGGATTCTCTGGCTTTCGTTCCCGCTTCGTCCCCGTCTGCTATATGACCTAGCACTCCGAGGGCGAGGGCGTGAAGGGAGACCACTCCGAGGATGTTCCGGCTGTCCGTTTGGTTGTTGGGCCGGGACCCACAGATGTACCAAGACCACATGGAGAGTGAGGAAACCTAGTGAGTCACCATACCTATCTGATTCTACTGAGCTTAAGCTTGCCATATTATATTGAAACCGAGCTGCAAGAGGGTGCAAAACGGAAGACTCCGGAAGACTTCACACCATTTCACATCTCATGTCACACATCGTTGCGGTTGCAGGGATTGCAAGATCAGATCAGGGACACTTGCATTCGAAAGATTCCGTGGATGTCTTCAATGTCTTCCATCGACGCTGATTAGCCATGTCGACAAGGGCCATTGATCAATTCCTGGCAGGATGTCCATCCCCTCAGCAGGGGAGCCTCAGTGTGCTTCGAACCAGCAGCCGCAGCGAGCCGCTGAAACGAACGGACGGTCATCGTTGACGTGACGAGCCGCGTGGCGTGCGGCGTGAGATCCGGGCCAGTGGGAAGCCTCGTGCGTCTCGTGCGCAGCGTGGCGTAGCGTACTCGTACATCCGCCACATCCTCTTTTTTGCTTTACCTTAGCCTTCAGAGACCATTTAAAAAACTGGTTGACATGGCTTTGTAGTCTAAAATCCCTATCAGAGGCCCGACCTCGAAACGCAGGGTCGGACTTGGTCCACCGACATGGGGTCCGGACCCGGTTCCCAAACCCGATGTGTTGCGAACCCTTCGCATCCCACGGGTGCGAGGAGGTCGCGCCCGTCCGGTCGGTGGCGCCCGACGTCCACGGTCCACGACTTCCGTGGTGTTGGAGACCTGAACATGCGGACGTAAGTCGGCTGAACAACGACCTGGTTTCGGTGGTATGTGCGAAAGCCGACCTTTGGACCATGTGGAAACGGTTCCTGTCTTTTCTGTTCTTTTCTTTTCTTTTGTGTCTTTTCTTTCTCTTCGTTGCCGGGCTCACGTGGCCCCCGAAACCACAGATGACTGACTTTGCCGAGGCTTCGTCCTCGAGCGCTGCCGTCCATGAGGCGAGTTGGTGCCAAGCGGCTGGTGGTGAGAAGCCCCCTCGCATGGGGGCAGTGATTTTTTCCCCAAACAGTTTACTGTTGGGGTTCTATCTTAGAAAAATAGAGCTGGCCACACTCACTGGCGGCGCCCCTGAACTCTGTGGTCCGGCTCTGTGTCCGGGCCTTGTCCTCCTCTTGTCAAACAGCTGGAGGCTTTAGAAAAGTGTACTTGCATTCGTTTCCACCAACATTGGAATTTTCGGAGTTGACGCCGACGCCGAAAAAATGCTGACGCTGTTTGGGGTCTATGCTGGTATAGTTTTTCCTCATGGTTTTCCATCATTGACAACTGGGATCATGAACGTGGATACAAGATGATGAAAGCCTCGACTCTCCACCCACATCCTGCAGTGATGCCACTGAGGGGATTGCACCACGACACCGAATGAGTGACAGGAAGACACCTGCATGGAGCGGACCAGAGAACCTGACAGGCTTGACAGCAAGAAGGATGTGCCAGAGGCGTCACTTGGCAGCGCGCCAAGTCAAACTCACAAGGAGCCAAGGGTGCCGTGAGGCGTTTGCGATGTTTCCCATGTTATGTGAGTCAGTTGATCAACGATCAAGGCTTGATTTGGTTGCTTTGAGCACTGAGTACTGAGCATGGAATCATGATGATGGGGTGGCTGAAAGCTGGTGCTCCATGGCACCATGGTTCATCTAAAAACGATTCAGGACAATGCGAGGGCAAAACGATTCTATCACCTCCCAGATGAACATCCTGCAGTGTGCACCATTCTGTGGATCACTGTCACATTCTGAACATAACATCGACCGGGCGTTGAGATGCGTTGAGCCTCGGACCAATTCCAGGCTTCCAGTGGTTTTCAGAAGAATGTAAATAAGACATTCAGTGGAATTTATGGACAATGCCGTGGAATGTTGTCCTTGTGTCTTAAGTGAAGGTAAACAACACACTCACATGGCACCCTCAGCCGCCCTCGAGCATTGCGGTCAACTCCAGTAATTAGACACACCCCAACTTGAATAGGATGCTCGTTGTTGAGGGCATCTTTCTTTTTTTTTGGGGGGCGTCCTTCCACCTCGGCCCACACGCGCTGTGTTATGACCTGGACTTCTAAACATGGTCTGTTGCGAAACTCCGCCAGCCACATCGATCGACCAGAGTCTAGCAGCATTCGATTCGCACCTCGAATCGATTCGACTCGACACTTTCGCATGTGCTTCGAATCTCCCAGGATCCCAGGAGTGAGCAGGTCCGGCCTCAGACCCCTGTCAAGGCCAAGACGGCGCGAGGCGGGGCGTTTGCGAGGCGACCGTTCTGGCACTTGTTCTGGGGTGAACACCTGGAGCCCCACCAGCGTGTCTTGAAGGTCCCACGTGGGTCAGCCAAGGTCTCATGGCTTTGACCCGCAGCCAGTTCTGCCTACATTGACCCCAGAAACCAGGCTAACTGATGGGTGAATGTAGCACTACAGCATATGCATGCAGCTCTGCCGGTCCCAGTGGTCGTGGGCCAAGAAGACCGCAGGCTCTGGACAGAATCGCCTTCCTGGCATCCCATATTGACTGGCCATGCGTGCCTTGAAAAACAGGTCCAGCCAGATAGCAATCCAGGTCCTTCTCACCGAGTCAAAGCAGGTGGGTTTGAGAAAAGGAATTCCAAACGATATTTTTTCAGAACCACTTCTCGAGGCTCCAAGCCAGTCCAGTGCCGGCAGTTTGTGTTGAGTTATTTTCAGACGCTCCGGAAAAACATTGAAAACGGCATAAAGCAGCCCGATTCCAGGGTGAGAGTCGAAAATGGGTTTGTACTCACCCACCGAGTTCGACACTTCTGAGGGTTCCGAGTGAGGGTTCCTCCGTCGAGGATTTGGGGAACGCACACTGGATGCACTTGTAGCGAGGCGTTACGAACGTAGCTTCTAGATACGAACGTAGCGATGCACTTGTTCCGAGTAGCGATGCCCTTGTGACTAGTATGGCGCTGCACTCAGTTCTTGGGGCAAGTCTTGAAGCTTCAAAGAGGCCGACCCTGTTTGGATGCGCTGGTGATGGCGGCCCGAGCCGCGGCGGCCACTACACTGGCGGGAGTTCCGTCCACATCTGGAGAAGCTTGGGGAGGAAGGGGAGAAGCACAATGGGAGTTGGGGTGAAGAGGGAGGCAAAGGTCTTGAGGGGGATTATTCATTGATTAATTATTCAGGTAGATGGTAGAATTGGGATTAGAATGGATTAGATTTCACCTTCCTTCTCCTTCTGCATCTTTTTCTGATGAAGAGCTTTTACCATTCAACAGGGAGTTGCGGTTTTACCACTTCAACTGGTGACCCTGGTGGTTCTATGAATCATGTGAGGCTGTCCCTCCGGGCTCAGCCAACCACGGCCCATCCGTCCGAACGAACGGACTGGGGGCTGCTCGGAAGTCCGGTGGAGACCGAGCTGGTGGGGAGCTTTTCATGGGGAGTCCGGGAGAAACCGGGATTTGGTTCGGAGCATCCGCTCGTTTCCCTGAGTCGAAGTAGCCCGGGGGACCACCATATCCGGATTTTTGGGTTTCTTGACATGTTTTCTTCGCTGTTCTCAACATGACTTCCTGTCTGATTTGACTGTTGAGTGTCCTTCGAAAGATCTAGTCATGCAAGCTAGTCACGGCTAGTCCATTGGTGACCCGAACGGTGCTCATGTCGTTTCCTTTTCACCTCTATTTCATATGTTTTGACTGTTTCCATTGACCAAACTCTACCTCACATGGAAACATCCGGCATTACTCGAGATACATAGAGTCATAGAGTGCATGGAAGATGTCCCGACTTCTACAACTTCTACAGGGATGAATGGTGCATCTATTGGGTAGTGTTCCAGATTTTGTGAGTACAAGACAATACGTACCATACATGTCCTTGCTCTCGTCAGCAGCCATTCTCAAGGTTGAGGAGACACCCACCCATCTTGTCGTATAAGTTTGTCTCGTCAGTTTGCTCAGGATCTCCTCCCAGTGGACTTCTTTGATGTAGGCCGAAGGGACCAAGTGAGCAGCGGCTCATGCTGGAAAAATGGACCCAGATACTTGAGCAACCTAAGAAAAACAAGGGTGTGCTGACTTCAACAAGGCAACATGTTGAAAATGCTGGTCTAAAGTCCAAAGAAAAGCAGAGCAAGAAAGGATAAGACGCAGAGGGAACCAAAGGTGAGAAGAAGTCACCCAGACATACTCATCTATGTGCATTTCCCTACAGGGCAGTTCGACATCATTTTACTGGAGTTGGTCATCCAAAACACTACTCAATGAGGCAAAGGACCAGGTTTACTGGGTCTTTGAACCCGTAGGGTTTATATGCTAGATAAAGCATACACACGTTATACAGCGGCAGTCAAACCGAACAAAGAGCAGGGCGCACGCTGCCTGGTGTTCTCTTTTTTGCTGCACCTTGAGTGATGTTGAGGTTTGTCATGAGATTTGGACTGAGACTCAAGCATTACAGTGGGCCCGGAACGATACCAGATGCCCAGGACGATAGATGCGATGCAGCGATTGTTGTGTCCGTTCCATGGTCCTAAGACTCGATGTTGCGTGTGGTGATATGTGCGAATAGGAGTTTAAATACCTAGAGCTTCCACTTGTGCTTGCACGTTCTGCTTTTTCATCTATCAAACCAGCCAAGTTGGACAGACATGTTGCATGGTTGGATGCGAAGATCCGGGGTCCCATGTGTCCCATACCCATATGACAAACAACTGATCTTGGGTCTTGGGTTTTGTGCTTCCCATATGCACCCAGGACCGAGACGTAGGGCTGGACTTCACAGCTCACGCCTCGGGAAGGAGGACGTACACCGTCTCGTTCGCCCGGTTGGCGGCGCCGCCGTGGACGGAAGGCCCAAGTTCGCCCACCTGGGGCTTACCGAGGCGGGCGATCAAGCGCGGGCTGGGCGAAAGCGGGCTGGGCTTCGCCCTGCTGAGAAGGAGGTGATGGCCCTTTGGGTGAAGTGTGTTGATGTTTTGATAATTATTTCTGGATTGAACCCGCACCGCATTTTATGGTTAATCCAGGTTTGAACGGATTGAACTTTTGAACCGCACCTGAAGAGATGTCGAAGTGTTTTCCATGTGAAGCTTGGGCAATTTTTGGGGTGTGGACGGGGTGTGGACATGTGGAAGGAAGACTTCATTGCCAATGCCGAGTGTTTTTTCGGCTTCAAGCAGGGCCATGACCTGTGTTTGGATGCCACAAGGAGAAGCGCAGCCACATGAAACCCGGCTCTCAACACTCTTGTGAATCACAGTTGTTCTACAATCTTCTACATGCTTTGCATATCCATTTGCGGGAGGAGAATCCTCGGCCTACGCTCGGGTCATGCACTGCTGGCTTGGGTAGGCCGCGCACATCCGAGAAGAAGACAAAAGACAACGCCAGTTCTGGAGGCTCGACACCTTGTGCTGCATACTTCTTATCGCTTGTGTCGCATACTTTACGAGAGGAGAACGGACTTTCTTGGGTGCACCGTGGGGTTCAGAGTAGATGGCACAATCCCCAAGTTTGGTGTCTTTTTTTGTTGGACCTCCATCTGAAAGACATGTAGGGGTTTGTGCCATCTACTCTGAAACCACTGTATTGGGTTCCAATCCGTGGAGCGGCTCGTCTGGCTCGCGGAGGCAGCGCCACCACAGCTCGAGAGGACGAATCTGGAGGGGCCGAAAAGGGGAGAACATCATTGGAAGCAATCGACCCTTTCCTTTCTTGGGACTACTACCAGACATATACCAGACATACTCAAGCATCTTTAGTTCAGAAGACCGGATAGAGCAACAGGCGTTGCTGTTTGGTTTGTTTGCTTGCTTGTTTTTACTTCCTTTTTTCAGAAGCCCGGAGAGTGCAACAGGAATTCGGATAGGACTCGTGCTGTCCCGAATCTGCACCTGGGTACGAGTCCAGGGACCGACGTTGTTGAGTCTGCCCCGTTCGGGCTGTCGACTGAAAAGACATCCGGCCCAAACGGTTTCGGGGGGATTGATCGCCGTCCGGGCCTCACTGTGGCGGGTGCCGGGGCCCATCGCGTGGGGCGTTCTTCGGCCGTGTCGGTTCGAGAGGTTGAAGATTCCCAGAAGTGAGACTTACCCAGACGCTGTGTGAAGACCGCCCTTTCCCAGTCCCTAAAAACACCCCAGGGATTGGTTCGAAGTCAGACATCCTCAGACACCTCTCCATGAGTCCATGCGGATCTTTCTCGGGTCATGTCTGGGCACTGAACATGCCCGGAAGACCTTGAGGTGTGTGGCCACGCTGGGTGCAGTCAAAATGAGGTCGACATGGATCGGTTGTCATGGCTTGTAAAAAGCGATGCGAGACACTTTTGGCTGCACAAAGCCTGTGAAAAGTTCAACGTTCACTACTTTTGAAGTCAAAATGAGTCAAAGTCATTCAAAGTCCTCATGTGTTCACATCCATGTCTGTTTGTTGATAGAAATCACATGATATCGCCTACCGGGTAGCATCACCTACATCCCGAGTCGATATCCCAAGTCGTGATCTACAGCTCCAAACATGTTTTTGTATGTTTTTGTTTCATCTAAATCCATCACCATCCGTGATAGATCGCTGATCCCAAAACAAATAACAAACGCCTTCAGGACTCCATACCGCTTGGAGCTCCGCCTCCCAGCGCCAGCGCGGGCCGTGCGGGCTTTGACAGGCGGTTCAATGGGATGCGGAGGTTCATTGCAAGGTGACAAGGATCAGCGAGTTTCGCTCGTTTCTTGGGGATTGAAACTGCACACAGAAACAGAATGCAATGCAAAGACCCCAAATGAGATGGAGACACATTGGATTCAATGAACTGCTTGAACAAAGGTGTAAGGGAATTTGTTTCGATCTGTTTGAAGTCGGATGGATGATTTTCCCTATAACCAAACAGATGCGTCCCTGTGAACTCATGGGAGAATGATGAAATGACAGAATGAACGGCTCCACGGCCTGCAATGACCACAAAAAGAGGGATTGACCCTGAATGAAACAAAAGGAAGGTCTGTATTTTTTAGTCGAGGCCCTCTGCCGACCACTCGACACATCCAGGGAGGCTCCCAGGCGCCCTGATGCGATGGCCTCGCTGGCCGAGGCAACCTGGGAGTTGGATGGGAAGACCATGGAAGCTGGATAGGTTGAAGAACCACTTGATAAAAGCGTCGCATGAGGGTTTTGGACAGAGAAGTCCCCACTCACAGCGGCCTGGACTGATCACGGTGTTTGCATCATCCACTGGCCTTACCAGGGGTGAATGTTTGTTGCTTAAACTGGAAAGGGCTGCCTGGAACGCTGCCCATTCCGTTCTGCTTCCGTTTTGCAAAGCGGAAAGGATTTTCTCAAGCCTTGTGATTGCAAGAAGTTTGGATGGACACGGGCTGTGTGTAAAAAGTGAGAACCCAATGCAAGGGGACACACGCAAATTGTGGTTGCTACTGTACCTGGCTACTTAAAACGGACCCAGGTGTTTTCATGGTTTCCACATCGCGCTTGTTAGCTTGTTGCTTGCACTTCTTCTGAAGGCCAGTCCGGATTCTTAGGGAAGTAATTACTATAGAAGTACTACAGATTACTCTACCGTAAGTAAACAGTGACCAATTCTTGCTGAATCAATCGCCCTGGATGCATCTTCACCTGAAGCTTAAGTGCCACGGTGTCATCCTCCTCCGGTCCGGTGAGGTCGGCGCGGTGCTGAGCGCCGTGCCCAGCAGGCGGACGGTGCTGACACCTTGCAGGTTGGTGTAACACCTTGGCTGGGCATCAAAGCCAAGCTACAAGATCTAATGGGCTACTTTGCAAAGCGTTTCACACCACGTTTCACCAACCAAATACATGTCTGCAACCAGCCGGGAGGAGTGTCCGAACTAGGCCCAAATGCCGAGTTTCAATGAGTAAGACCAAACATTTCACGACGTTCCAAGTTCAACCCTGAGAAAAGATTGCAAAAAGCGATCCTTTTTCTTTTTCACGGAATACCCGGAATACACATAGCAAAGAAGCCGCCTGACCCAAAGACCCCCTTTTTCTGCACCGCCCTTCACTTCGCCGGACCGGACCAGGCACCGCGAGGTGCGGCAGGGCTTCGGTCGCTTGGAGCGAGGGAAGCGGTTCGCGAAGGGCGGGAGGCATTGGCTTCCACCCGCCCTGGTCGGGTTGGAGAATGGATGAACATGAGGGTGTGAGTGAGTGCATGCCTGCGTGCGTGCATGACTGGGGTGGGTGGGTGAGGCGGGTGCGTGGGTGGGTGGGTGGGTGGTTTAGAAGTCTTCCAGTTCGCGAGCGGCGAAGTCGCGACAGTGTTTGCAGCCATCCTGGAAGTCTTTTCCACCTTTCATGCCACAGGAGCCTGGGAAACAAGAAACAGGGCGTCGTGATCCCAAACTACCTTGACAAGGGTATGAAATCCTGAAATGATACCTCCAAACAGTCAAAGCCATTTTTTCGGAGGTTTGCCACCACTCCACCAATTTTCACGGGACCGTTTCTTATTGGACTTGTTTCTTGGAACTTGAGAGCAACAAATAGTTGGTGCCCAAACATTTGTGGGTTTGAACTCTTTTGAATCACTGTAGGAATCTAGTCACAGTTGCATGGATATCCCATGGCATCCCATGGGCCCATGAGCCAATTCGCCCAACACTCGCTCCCTCGACTCGGCCGCGGCGCCGGGGGCTTCGGAGACTCGCCATGCGCCGCTCCGTTGGACGAGAGACCGTTGCTCCCAGGTAGCTTCTTCCGGCGTGGAGGCCACGTACTTCGAGATGAGTCGAGATGAGTTCGTGTGTTCGGTGGTTCTTGGTGGGACTGGTGTGTTCCAAGATGAGTTCTCGGTGGGACTGGTGTTTTGTGCCGAAAGAACAAGGAGGATGAACATGTTGCATCGAAATGGACTCAAACTCTCCCAGGAGAATTGAGAAGGAGACCTTTCCCTCTTTGGATCCACCGCAGTGTGAGTTTTACTGGACCAAGGACCGAGCAACCGTTAACCGGCGTGTTTCATCCTTTTCACTCTTGGTAGATTGACCGGGACCATGTCGGGGATTCGTCTATTCTCTTTCATGTTCGGTGGGAACACCGGTGTCTCACATGGGTCGAGTCCAAACCCCCGATCGCCGCGATCGCGGCGTTGGGAGGGTCGGTGTGAAAGAAAGAAAGCGGTTCCATCCCCAAACGACCAAATGAGTGGCTGTACTCACTGAGTCGTGTTCCTACTGTGGATTTGTATATTCAGCAAAAAAAGTACAATCAACATGTAATCAATCAGCTGAAACGAAGCATATAATTCATATAATACCATTGACCTTTTCAAACTGACAGAATTCTGGTCACAATTGCAATGTCAGTATGCGAGTATGCACTTCTCAGATGTCTTCGCTGTGTGGCATATCGGCATCTCGAACTGCCCATGGTGGAACTGCCCCCCACACCGAGGGAGTCTGCACGGACCGCGCGCGATGTCGCGAGCGCCTGAAGTCGTCGGGGATGGCAGGTGGACCTGCGTTTCTTTCTGCCATCCCCGAGGACGGGAGGAAGGTTCGGAAGGGATCGGACAAGGAGGGACAACAGCTCTTGCCGCTTGAGTTCTGAGAGATCCACTGGTCCGGTAGCAGTTCGATAGATGAGGGAATAGGATTTTCAGGAAAGACATCAAGTTGCGTTGTATAAGTAGTCAAGACCTGGCGTTTCAAACAATTTATAGCTTCTCAGTTACCGCAGAGGAAGGAGGTTCATCGCAATCAAACAAGCTCTCAAACATGGAACACGTGCCGGAAATCTTAGAAATTTGTGTTTGAAGTGGGCAAGGTTGTATTTTGACATCTGCTCACAGGCAGTAGTCCTTCAAAGTTGGACTGCATTAATGAATAAAATACATGGCATCTTCTTTCACAGAAGGGCCTTGCTTGCCATGATAGTATAGTTAATTTGTTTGCTCCGGCGGCGAGCGTGACCTGGCGCCAATAAGCCGGAGCTGCCCCAGCAGCACCTTCAAGAGCGCAGCCGCACCACTGCCCAGGTCAGGCCGCATTTTGCGACCTTGACCCTTATCTTAGTAACTTAGGGACCCTCACTCGGACCACTCTTTTTGATCTTAATTGTTAGTCGCAGTTGTGATTGGATTGGTTTATCTCTTGACTTGGGCCTCAGACTGGAACTTATCCATCAATGTGACATGGCCTGCTCGAACCTGCAGTCGGCGATCAGAAAGCCTATGTTATATGTTATATAGCAAGTTGCAGCAGCAAGAGACCCAATGCTGTGTTGTGCTGGTGTTCAGGCGTGAGCTAGTCGGCTTGCAGGCGACTTCGCGCCTGCTACTTGGCCAGCCTGCTGCCCAAGTGCAGCAGCACACTAACCCTCCTCCTTCCTTGCTCCCTGGTTATTTTGTTACTTTGTGTCCTGCAGCTTAAAGGAAGCTTTGGCAGCTGAGTAGGTGGCAGAGCTGCTTTTGCAAAACCCCGCCCTCCAAGTGCCTGACCTAGAGTTTGGGTGGCCTGCCAGCTTGCAGGGTGGTACCTGCAAGCTGGCTTGGCCTGTTGTGTCGTGATCAAGCTGATCTTCTCTAGAAATATGTTGATTAGGGTCCACTGTGGCTGGACTTTCATTTTCAAGAGGAACAATATGTCACAACATCATCAGTTCCCAGGAAGTCACTAGAAGTGACCACCCTGACTCTTCCTAGGGACTATGCCTATGCCTCTCAATAACTGGATAGTTGAGCCCAAGCTTCTAGTCTACCCGAAAGAAAGATGCTGTCTTTAACCCCCAGGACTCTGCATCTGGTGGCACGGAACACATTGTCTCTCCTCCTATACGTCAATTACTTCAGATCTACAGCCAGACTACATGAACCACCGTTCGGGTTGCCGAGATTGCACAGATGCCCCATGGAAGAAAATTGTTTGTACGATGGAAGGCCGTGTGCAGAGTGTTGTGGCCAACCGACACGTCTTTGCAAGGTTTCCTTGTCAAATTCATAGGATGAACTCAAGTGCCTTGTCTGAGAAGCATGCATGACACCATTGACGAGAGTTGGAACGCTGAGATTTGGACATGGTCAATCAAGAACTATCAAGAACTCACAGCCGTGAGGGTGGCAGTTTGTGCAACCCTGTCTCTGCTCCGATGTTGTTCTGTTGTTGGAGCAGCCGAGCATGGAGGAGGTTCTTCAAGCCATGGATGCCCTGATGCCACCCGAATGCACTGCTTGATCAGTGTTTTCCAACATGCCTTTGCCACCAGTGCTCCACGTGCAAGTCTTTACGTCGCAAGGTACTATGGCAAACGCTCAATTCAGTCCACCGGTAAGGACGGGGTGGAAGAACTGCACGAGATCTGGCCATGCAGGTCCATGCAATCGAAGAGGTCTTGGCAGTGGATTTGCCTTCACTTCGCTTGAGTGAAAAGGCAGAAGTTGAAGACATGCGTGACAGTTTCCTCCTCTTTGTGAAGAAGGGGATTCTTGATTAGACAGCGGGGCTCCGCACATGTTGGCGAGTTTCTCCAAAAGTTGATCGATGACAGCGTTCATTCCTTGCTGTTGCAGGCTGCAGCGAAAACTTTGGAGCACATCCCATGTGAGTTTGGCGGTTTTATTTGGGCGTATGTACAGGTGTGAAATGTGCAGATGTGCATGTCTGGATATGTGCGGATGTGATGATGTGCAGATGTGAAGATTTGCATTTCTGGATCTGTGCGGATGTAAGTTGATGAGCTGTGATGCTATGTAATTTTAAGCATAGAAATAATGCTCATGTCTTTGCGCCTGCTTTGCTTCAAAAGAACCCTTCGCTCAGGCGCTCTCCGGAAAAACTCATGTTCCATAAAATTGTGTGGGAACCGAAAGGTCAAGTCAGATTTGCCGAACTGAGGGTTTCTCTGCTTTTGCCAAATTGATGGCCCGTGTTGTCAAAGCAAGGCATGCAATCCACAACTGATTGGGGGTGGCCATGGTGCAGTTCACAAGCAGAACTGACAAAATCTTATAGCGTTCTAGCCTTCAAGGAGCTCTGTGAAACTCCCGTGTTTTGTTCAAAACACAGGCGCCGAGGCACATGTTTGGTTTTCTTCGACCCAGTTCGTTTGAAGGACCTCCTGGTACAGGCTGGTTGGGTCTCGGTTTCGCCTGTTTTGCCAACCATCATTTTTGACCCGACCCCCGTCGTAGGTCGTAGGATCATCCAACATCGTCTCCATGCATAAACACAGAAATTCACCTTGAATCTCTGTAGCTGCTTCTCCAAATGTTGTGGGCAATTTATTGGACTTGGAACAAACCGGCACTCCTTGCAAGCCTGACGGACCATCGGAATCTTCCTTCAATCAGGTGTTGCGGTCCAGACTTTGTCTGGAGGCGTATCAGATGATCCCAAGTACCTGGGTAGCCCTTTATAGTAGTTACCAGGTTACCATACCATTACATTCCCTGAAATCATCATGGATGTGGAAAACCTCCAAAATCCAAAGTATTTATTTCATGGAGTGCACTTCATTGAGCTATCCCAAATCGAAATCGTGGAACGCAGAAGATATCCCACCCGCTGCACGATATATCTGGCATGGTCTCCAAATGAGGTAAGTCCCTTCACCGCTTCCAAACATTTCCGACGTGGTTTTGCTTAGGGTGATCAATTACGCCAGCTTATGCGCCTGTGAATGTCTCTGATTTTTTTCATTGGCAGGTGCTCTCAGGAAGTTTAGCCTCTGAGCCGCTGGCGTGCTTGGCGCAAGCCTCGCGGAAGATGAAGGTGTGGAGGGTTGCCTGTTTCGTCATTGTCAAAGTGAACACCACAACATGGTAAGAAGTTCTGATGAACGACTGGGATGGAAAGAAAGGATACAAAAGGTATGAACTGGGATGAACTGGGTGACTTGTCAAAAGGAACAATCCAAACACCCAATGTAGGACATGATGGGTGCCACATGATCTGAACCCTTACGATTTGGACCGCTCTTTCCGTGTCCAAGAGCTGGTACGCTGGAATCATGGAAGGACTTTGGATGACCATTTTCCTTCAGACACGGGTGGTTTTCAATTTTCCACTTCCATGATGATTCCAAGGAGTGTACCAGCTTTACTCAGATTTCTTCAGCTTGATCCAGCGCTTCCTTTCTGGAAGTCAGGCCATCGCCAAGGTGGTGGCTTTGCAGCGCTTGCTGGAACACGTCGAGAACGAGGAGGGGGGGACGGTGTGACGGTCCCGGCGGTCGGGACCGGGTAGTGGGAGAAACGGACCAAACCACCCGGGCCGCCTGGTTCGAGCGCCGCTGTTATTTGGTCTCAAAGCGGGAAGTCGCAGGTTTCGTCTCAAAGCGGGAAGTCGCTGCAGTTTCAAAAGCAGAGACTCGACATGGGGTTCACTAAACTGGACCGAAGAATTTGGAGGAGGGAGGGAGGGAGGGAGGGAGGGAGGCCGACCTCTCCTCGCATCCCCCTTGTTGGTCCCTTAGTCTATCACCAACCAGAGGTGATAGATGCTCCCATCGATGGCTGTACTCCCCGTGTCGTGTACCACCAATTGTTTACTACAGTACCATGGCAGAAGCTCCTAGTAGCTTCTTGTTCCTAGTAGTAAGGCCATGAGCCCCGTTCATAGCGTCTTTGCTGCTAGTAGCGATGCCCTTTGCTCCTAGTAGCGTCCTCCAGTTTGTAAACCGCTGACCCCTCTAGCCTTTCCGTTTTCGAGCGGACATCACTATGGGCTGCACGCCAGTCACGTCAGGAGGCCGTGACGCGGATGCCCTCCACGCCGGCACCGCCGGTGGGACCCGCCTGCCCATTGCATCGCTTGTTTCTGCAGGAGCGCACGGAGCCTTTGGCCATCCAAAAAGCCAACGAGTCAAGCAACATGTGATATACGGGGTACTGTTGGGACTCGTATTTCTCCGACTGATGGAAACAGGACAGAGCTTGCTCCAAACAGTAAGTTTAGTCATGAGTTCCTAAAACCGCTCGGATGGTCATAAAAAAATGCTGTCATGGACTCAGCAAAAGTCAGGACATCTCCCCAACCCATGTGGCGATTTAAGAAGTGAGACACGCGCTGACATGCGGCAGCGTAGTACGCGAGCAAAAACGTTTTGGACGAGCACATCTCACAAATAGACCGGGGGATTGGGATGATAACGATGACTATATATTTGTTGCTGAATCCGCCCGGTCATGTGGGCCATATTTGCACACCTATCCACCGCGCATTTGGGAAGGAATGAACACCAGTGATTTTTTCACCCAATCTGAGGCTCCCATTTAAACGTTTCACTGAGGAAGCCTTGCTTCGGCCCAGCATGGGAGTGCTTTGGCAGCCCTTGGTCTTGGCATCAGGCCTGAAGCTATCCCCAACTCCGCCACCACCAGCTCTTTTTCCGAAATGCTTTGTTCAGACACCTGCGAGTTCTCGCGAATTCTTTCATTCCGGCATCACCGTTTTTGAGAGTTTCGATGTTTGCTAGTTGTAGTTGGAACATGATGTATCTCAAGACCGCCGTTTTGGCTTTGAACCTCTGGAGTTTGACGACCGAACGACTGCTTCCTCTGAAAGAGGCCGACAAAGAGCTGAGGGAGGCGCGAATACACTGCGTGGATGGTGATGTTTGAGCCGAGGATGGGGGATAAAAGGATGTGTGAGGGACAGTCTAATCACAGATGTATTGGGTGAGTTGGTGGCTTCATGTCAAAATCTATGATCTCTTTTTAGGCAAGGCCTCTATGCCTTTGCTTGAGGGCTCCAAAAGCATCCAAAAGCCAGGGCAAAAAGACTGAGACACATGATATCATATGATATCAATTGATATCATATCATGTTGTTTGGTTGGTCAAAACGGAGCTCGGGATGATTCTTCTGCAAATTCCTTGCAGCTTGCAACACCGTTGTTTTGTGGCTTGGCCACACACACACACTCTCTCTCTCTCTTTCTCTCTTTTCTCTTTTTTCTCTGTTTTCTCTCTTTCTTTCTTTCTTTCTTTCTTTTGCTGCCAATGTCTGATGACAAGCCATTGGAGTTTGGACTCTTCCCATTGGGGGACCCCGCAACCCGCTGACCGTGTGGTCTTGGATGCCGACTGTAGGCATCGAGCAGCTCGAGGAGCTCTTCCACTGCGGAGGTCATGATTTTCTTCCGCCGCGCGCAGTGGATGGTTTGCCAAGGGACAGGAGAACTGACTTGGGTGTGTAATTTATAGGTATAGGTATTTTAATCGGGATACTGAGATACCCCTAACCAATGACAGGTGTTTTGTCTATTTCTCTTCTTCCACGAGATCTTTGGGAGGTCTCCAGTGAGGTCTCCCTATTTTACATACACACTACACACCCACTTATTTGGAATATGGAGGAAAACCTTCTAGATTCTAGGGAAGGAATGAAGCCTCTCCTTGTTTTTTAGGGGTCTGGATGTCTGTGGGGAATCCATTTGTCCAAACCTGGTGACCGAAATAAGGGAACCATGCTGGGTTCGGGTGGAGGGTGACAGCCTTCCACAGACCCACGACCCGACTCAAAACGCTCTGAAGAACTGCACGAATCTGCCCAGAGATCAGGCGGTACCCTAAGAATCGCCTCATCAACCCACCAACACATTCCGGGCGACCCAGCTGGTCGGACGTCACCCGTGGCGTCCGACCCCACACGTGGGGGGGCCGGTGGGGCCAAGCCTTCCCGGGAACCGGGGCTAGCGAATCTGATCAAAGCCTCCACATGAAGAGATAACACATGGTAGTATATATACATGGTAAACACCATTCTGAATTGGGGGGGTTCAGGAATCAACTGACCTACATGACTGGACAACCTATGACAATCTCTCCCAGTTCGTCTTCCGTTCCGACCATTAAAGAGATGGTTGACCTGGTTTTGTAGTGTAAAGTCCAGACTAAAACGAAGGTTGTTCGGGAATGTTCGGTACAGCCTCTTTAATTAAAGGTGGTTGGAATCCTAGGGTCTCTGAATCAGGGCTTGCCTTCATGACCGTGGTGACTTGGACCACCTGTACCACCTGTGTCGAAGCCGCTTCGACCTTTTTGGGGCTCCTGGCCCTGGTACCTTCGCCAAGTGCCAGAAGCTCAAAACCATCCCCTGCAGGCGGCTCCCATCCTCTTCTGCTCTGCCCACGACAACGACCCCTGATCCGGTCGGTGAGTTGTGGCAAGGACCGCTGCCTGCTTGGAGAGGAGGTGGGTTTGGGGATGTTTGGGGATGAGACGCTCTTGGGTCGTGGCTGTGGCTGTCCCCTGCTCGAACAACTTTTGAAAACACGTTGAATCCAGTCCAGAAGATGGAGGTTCTTGATCTTCTCAGGGCCAATGGGCCAAATTGAAAGGTGATGAACTCTTAAACCTCCCATGGTGGTGATGCAAACCGAAGGCAGGGGACGACACTTGTCACCAGGACCGGAGACCTGTCACCACGAGTCCAGTCGCGCCAGGACCACTTGTTGCTCTTGGACCACGCAGGGCATGCTTGGGCCATGGGTGATCCATGGGCCTCTGGCGCAGCATGACTGCATTCTTTTTTTCGGCTTCTCGACAAGAGGGAAGTGTTCCACATGGGAGAGAGTCTCTTCAGGTACTCTGAAGGAGCGCCATTGGCTTTTGAATCTTTGGCATGTGTTGGCTTCATCTCAGATCGCTCCACTCGTGCGCCAAACTCTGACCCGTTTGGATATCAAGGTGCCAACTGTGTGAGCAACCCCACCCGTTTGACGTTTTGATCAAGCAAACAGCATCTGTTTAAAAGACGACCATTTCAATTTTTTAGACAAAACTCATAGCTGAGCTCGATGAGCAGAACACCAGAAATCTTTTTCTTTGAGGTTTTTTGGTTGTCTCTAACAGATGCCGTCTCTATCCGGGCCCCCGGATAGGGGTGGTTAATGGACACTCCTCAACCTCTAAGGGCTAGACACCTGGGAAGTTGCTGGCATGGGCCATTTTTCTATGAGCTGTTCTGTTCAGACTGAAGTTCAGACATTCATGGCCTCCAGAGGCCTTTCGTGATTCTTTTTAAACGTCGATCGGCGCCTTTTCACGGCCATTCTCAGGTAGCTTGGCCTTCCGAAAGTGAGGAGACGTTCCGGGATGTTTTATGTGTGCCATTTAAAAAACACAATCTTTGATATTCTTTGATAATCTTTGTGGTTTGGACTGCGGAGCAGACATGTTGAATGTGACTGTGCAACTGATCTTGATGGATTTTGCATGATTTTATTGAATGAACACATCCATGATGGAACCTACCAATGATGGCTTGGTCCATTGAGTTGGATGTAGATGCATAGCAGCTGTTTATCAAAGATGTACTTGGAAGATCTGGTTGAAATGTCAATCAATACCTGGCCACCCATGAACTCTGGAACAAAACTTGATATGGTCACCATTGCCTGGGGCAACTCGTCGAAATGGTATGTGACGAAGTTTCATGAATTGTAAATTTTCTCTGAAAGACATTCTTTAATCTTATATCAGATATCAATATCTGATTCGATTGCTCTCCTGAATGAGTGACACACAAATGTAATGCTCATCAACTGCGCATCTATAGGATTCGGCATCAACAGTCATTTTTCTCGGTCTTCATCCCACACAAGGAAGGGTTGGCACACACCGTATAGAAAGGGGCTACCCATGACCTAAGGAGGAGGCCCCTCCGGGAGATGACGCTTCCATGAATAGACTCCTTGAAAGACTCATGGAATCCCGGTGGATGGGGCCTAAGACTCGGAGGACCATTGATGACCTGACCTCAGACCCACGAAGCCCGCGAAACCAGAGAGTGACACCTTCCATCGGGCGAAGCATGGCTCGCGCCGCAGGAGACCGCCCGTCTGGAGACGAAGCCGGCGCCGCTCACGAGGGCGACTCCCTTGCAGGTGCTATGGACGGTGCCTTGGCACGGCACCGGAGGTTGCGCTCGAAAAGCACGGCACCGGGCACCGGTGGCGCGTTTCAAGAGTCGACTCATGGTGTTTCACCGGTTTGTTCCAAAAGACCGACTCGTGGTTTCGCTCGCAGCCGCTATGTGGCAATGCAGCCGCTATGTGCTGTGGAACTGCTCTGTCACGATGGGATGGGCAAAACAGTCTCCAATGGGGTGACATCGGGTCACAGGTGCCAACGCCGTTGTGCTCTTCAGAGTCCATGGGTCTTCATGAGACCACTTGGCAAACTGCCAACCAACGTATCTTTTCAATGGTGAGCGAAGCAACGCAATGATCCACCAAGCTCTTCAGCTCGACTCAGTCGCACATGTTGTAAAACATCATGTTCCTTTCGTCCCATCGACTCGTCGTGTTCTTCACCGGAGAAGAAGGGGCGAACTCCGAGCTGCGAAGTGGTCCGACCCGGAGATCGCGCGCCCGCCAGGTCCATCTGTCCAAGGCGCGGGGAGCCGGGAGCGCGTTACGGTCGGTTCCCGGTGGATGACGTCGGTCGGGGCGGGAGTTGTTCACACTCAGAGGTGGGCCAGGACCCTATAGACTATCCCATGCCATAGGTACCCTGGTAGGGTCCTAGTTCAAGTCACTTAACCTCTGGCATGAAAACAGCCTGAACAGGTGGACCGTGGACGGTGAAGCTTTCTGAAATGAACGGGAAACGGCGAGCCAAGCTCTCAACGCTCTTGAGCTTGGTAACAAGTTTGACCCATTTGCAGACCACTCCTGCGGTCATACAACAATGTGTAGTTTTTCGGCCATCCCACCAAACCAGCATCTGACATCCTGTTAATCTGCCCTTGACTTGCAAATGCCCTTGATACAAAAAGAACGCTTCACCTTGTGAAATTCTGCGATTTTTCACATCCCATAACATCACCTCTAGAGGGTTCGACTCAGCCCCTGTCCACCTCCTTTTTCCACCAAAAATCAACACCGTGACGCCAACACCGGTGGCCTCCTCCTCCCTCCTCAGGTGGCCTGTGGCAATGGGCACAGCATCGCCATGAGCCGCGAGGGGGACCTCTATCTCTGGGGACGAGCCTTGGATCAGGAACCTCCGGGCTGTCAGCTCAGCGTCTTTGCTGAGCGCTTTTTGTGGCGGGCGAAGGGATATTTTCAGGGATGTGATAGGAGGACTCCACCATTGGAGAATGTTCTTAACTATTGGGATTTCCTTCCTATTGGGCCGGTTCTGAAGCTTCAGGAGGACTATATAATTAAGGAATACAATTGAGTCAATTGAGCACTTCTATGCTCAAAACTCTGCGGCTTTCTTCCAGCAAATGAGTACGGCTACACATATTAGAAGATCTGTGCTTGAAAATCGACGATCTTGAATAGCTTTTTGGACGGTTTTTTGGGAGAGATACGGAGAGAGAGGCCCAATTCGGTGTTTTTGGAGTTTCCGCTCCGTCGGTCGGTCATGGTCATGGGTTCTTCCGGTGTCCTAGGGTGTCTTGTGAGCTTAAATTTGGTCGCAAGAATGCTCTACGAGGCTGCTGAGCTACTTCATGAGGCTTCACAGCAATGTGCAAGTCAAAGAACCTGGCGATTTTCACCACTGGGTATAGAGAGGCTTTCATTGGGGTCTGATGGTTTGGATGTTCGAGTACTGATTCTAGGCAGCACCATGGATTGGTGGTCTGAAAAATGCTGAGCTCTCTGGAAGTTAGCCCATGGTCCGGGTGCTTCTCATCGTGTGGCGTTCCGGCGCACAAGCGTCGGGTCGTGCGTGGGCCGTGTGTCGTGCGTCGGGTCATGCACGGTGATTGGACGTGAAAATACCATGAAACTCTCATGAAACTCTCATGATCATTAAGACTATCATGAACTATCTGCTGCATAACTATAGAGGCCATGACTGAACCTGGTAGTCTAGTATGCATAACTATACTATGGTCATCTGACTCAGAACTGCTCCATCCACGTGAGTCCAACGACGGAGTCGTCCGGAGAGTCCGGAGTCGTCCGGACGACGGGCGTCCGAGGACGTGCGTTTGGTGGAAGGGGGTTCCAAATGGAAGGAAGGGGGGTTGAGAGAGTTAAGATAAGAATGGTTCAAACCCCCCTTCTGAATGGTTAAATAGGAATTCAGATCTAAATTCAGGGGGGTTGAGAAGAATGGTTCAAATTCAGCAAATCATCCTGAATTTAGATCTGAATTCCTATTGCTTCGCCTGCTTCACTCCCTGCTTCGTCTCACTCCCAGCCTGTTCGACCCCGCCAGCTTTCATGGGACGAGACCACACGTCTTCCAGGAGACCACACGTCTGACGTCGTACCGGCGGCCCAGCAAGGTGGGTCGGGAAGCACGACGGTCAATTTGGGAGGATGCTTCCAATTCATTCGATCCATCGCAGGCGGAACCCGCCAGGTTAGAGGCCAGGTGGGCGGAACCCGTAGAGAACGGTTCGACTTTTTTTTTTGTGGGGCGCCCGACTCCTCTTCAAAGTACGGAACAGCGATCCTGGAACAACTTCTGCAGCAATCCAAAAGTCAGAAACAATATGAAACAATACCAGCACCACTGAAAGGGTGGTTGATGGATGGAAAGTACATGGTCAGGGGGGTCTCTAAACCATTCGAAGTGGGTGATCCCAGTAGTGTGTTGTTTTGATTACCTCGCTTTGCGAGGTTTGATCAATGGCCGTTGGACTCCCGGCTCCGCATCTAAATGTTAGACACAGCTGGAACCCCAAAGAATATGTTCAAAGCGCTTGTGTTGGTTGAAAGTGGTTGCTTTTCCCGAAAGGGGTTCTTGAGTTGAAAGTGTCACCTTGCCTTTCCAGAATCTAGGCTACGTACTTTTGTTAGGCTCGAGGCTGTGGTCTTGTTGGACATCTAGAATCGACGAAGCAACGAAGAAGACAGGTGTGGGTCAGGAAAGGCTTATAATAATCATTGCCCTCTTCATCCCAAATGGATTTTGACATATCCCGCTGCATGCCACAGTGCCTGGAGTCAGCACCTGACACAGTAGCTGGCACCTCTTTGGATCAGGCCAGCTTCCCCATCTTGGCCTGCGACATTGCTGCGGGCGACAGTCATGTGGCGGCTGTCTGTTGGACTGGGGCGGCGTGACTGGGCAGAAAAGACTCACCCAAGACCTGCGGAACAGGACTACGAACGGGCCTCAAAGGACAGAGATACATCTTCCTGAAGAGTTTTGTTGATTTTATTGTTATATTAAAAACAACTCAATTTTAGAGTAATCTATTCCATTTTTTCAAGAATCTGTATTCTCAGTTCTCACTCGCTTGGGGCCTCTACTGACCTGTCTCTCTGGTTGAACGTTCTCTTTTTTCCGCAGATAGCGAAGCTATGGAGTTCTTACTTCAAATAACAATGATCTGCCTGCGCGCGCTTTCGAGACAGGTTGCCCGTGCTGGTGCTGGTGCTGTGAGCTGGCTGTGCACATGGTGGAGACAGGGTGCCGGTGCCGGTGCTGGGTGCTGGCTGTGCGCGTGGTGGAGGCAGGGTGCCGGTGCTGAACAAAGTCGGATTCAGAAACTGCACTGTATTCAGAAACTAGTCTTCAGAAACTATTTCGTTGTATTCGGAAACTATTTCGTTGTATTCAGAAACTCTTGTATTCAGAAACTATTTCGCCGTATTCAGAAACTATTTCGCCGTATTCAGAAACTCTTTTCGTCGTATTCAGAAACTATTTCGTCGTATTCAGAAACTATTTCGTCGTATTCAGAAACTATTTTCGTCGTATTCAGAAACTATTTTCGTCGTATTCAGAAACTATT